CCAACGGAAGTTTATTGTAAAATGCGGCCATATCTCCGGCTAGGAAGGTCGCATCAACGTGCTCCCGTCTCTAGCATCCCCGCAGCCCGAGCTACGAGTGAAAAAACTAAACTTACATGTAACTTCCGTTGGGCTGCTTTAAAGTCGAGCTTCAGTTTAAGATTCACCCTGTAATAGAAACATGTGATGGAGCATTACTAACCTGACTCAGATGCTTCACCAAACCATCTAAAGCTCCTTTGGAAGCCATTTGGAAAGGGCAGGCACTTTCAAAAGCACTTGGCAGGTGATTGGATCAATCTGTCTATCACCTTCTATCATGGGCCGCTTCTGATTGGTTAACAACGGCTGGTACATGTGGAGCACAGCACTTCTGATTGGTGTGGATGACTGACACACAAGAAAAAAAGAAAAAAAATTGTAAAAAAAAAAAAACATGTTGAAAAAAATCGCAGGCTTTGCGATTTGATAATCGCATCATTTAAAATCGCGATTTCGATTTAAAATCGATTAATCGTTCAGCCCTATTAATGAGCAGCGCTGAGCCGAAACACAGAGAGACTAACAAGGCGGTCGTCTCATCGTCACAGTGTTGTTGAGATAATCAGGGCTTTTTATGTCCAGTTAATTCAATGTTTCATCGAAGCTGCACGACAGGAAGTATCGAGTGTGAGGCAGAAGAAATCTTTTTTTTTTCAATTTTCTCGTCCTTACTCTGAAAGAAATAAGATCCCAAAAAAATGTACAGAAAGAATTGAATAATAGACCAAAAAAAATAAAAAACAAAAGAAAATTATAATACAAATAATAATAAACAATACCATAATATGTGTGCGAACTGTATTTGTAAAAAATATGTTTCAACTCAAAATATTTTATGTTGATATTATTGTACTTTATTCCATTTTTTATGTTTTTATTTAAACAAAAAAAATGTAAAGTTAAAAAAAAATAATAAAAAATGTTTGATTAAACATTCAGAAAAAAGTAAAATAAATAAAAATGTATGAATAAAATATTTTGAGTTGATATATCTTTGTTAGTACTCGTTGAAGCTGCAGCCATACAATAATTGTATCTGATGTATTTATATTCTTTTTTTGGGCAAAATGATTGACTTTCTTTGACATCTGATAATAGAAAGAGGATGTAGAAAATATAAAATGTATAATAAACTGGTTTAAAGTCAATATTTGTGTTCAGATGTCTCACACAGCCACCAGTGCCTTCTGCCGCTCCATCAAGCTGCAGTGTGAGCTGTATCCCTCCCGAGAGGTGGCCATCTGCCTGGACCCGTACTGCGGCCTGGGCTTCGTGCTCTGGTGCCTCTGCAGGTCAGAACCACCCATTCAACATCAACATACACTACTTAGTGCAACTGTAAAATAGCTTCTAGTACATTGAGAAGGTTGTTATTGTTTTATCTTGCAGGGGTGTCAAACTCAATTTCATCCCGGGCCACATCAGCATTATGGTGGCACTCAAAGGGCCGGTTTTAATTTTAATTATATATAAATATACATATGTAAATATATAATATATATTAAATAATGTATTATATTACATTGTTGGCCCTGCATTGGATTATTATCAGTTCTGGTAATATCTTCCTAAATAACTACGTCTGAAAGCAGAAGTCTCGGGCAAATAATTGAAAGCAAATATTCAACAATTACACCAATTGTATTGTATATTATATTCTTTGCAAGCTCTTGCGGGCCACATAAAATTAGGTCGTGGGCCGAATTTGGCCCCCGGGCCTTGAGTTTGACACCCCTGTTGTAGAGGGTTATGTCTTATTGTGTTTGTTTGCCTAAATAATCTGTTCACTGGAAAACATGCTGCTCCAAAAACAAGTTAAACAATATTGAAAACTGTTTTCACTTGAAATCAGTACAAAAATCTGCCAATAGAACAAGTGAACATGTGCTTGGTTAGATGTCTTGAAATAAGAAGGGATATTTAGATAAATCACATCTTGTCATTATCTGGGAAAACTAATTTTGAACTATATTTACCAGAATCTGGAAAAGGTTCAAAGCTCAAAGTGTTTCTGTTTTCTGATAGTTGGTGATTTTCTAATAAATATGTGTTTATTCTGAGATACGACTTAACAAGATGGTGCATTGTCTAAAAACAAGAGCCGATATCTCACTGCAGTGTTACTTCTGAAGTTATTATGTGTTGCATCAGGTGTAGAGACATATTCTGACTAGATATTAGACACATATACTGGGCAAGATTTTGAGTTTGTGTGGTGTTAAATGTGGTAAATTACTTTATTTATGTTAAAAATGTGAACAAAAATAGTATTTAAAGGTGATTTTGGGTTTGTTTTTTTGTCAGGGTTATCAAAAAAAGATGAAATGACATCTATAGAAAAGACTTGCCAGTGGTGTTGCATAACTTGCTAACACACAGTACCTTGTGTTTAGGGTTCATGGAGAAATAGGAAATCCCATGAATGCGTTTATTATTATTTAAAATATATAAGGTAGTGGAGCTCTAGGTAAGATAAGACAGAACTTTATTGATCCCAATTTGGGAAATGTTTGTGTTGCAGCAGCATAAAAAGACATGGCATTGTACAATAACAATTAAAAGAAAATAAATAAACAAGAAAGTAGAAAAAATAAATAATTTAAATTGAAAAAAAATACAAAATTTAATAACTACTGTATAAAAAAGTTTACAGCGTGTTTTTGCTTGGATCAGTTTAGCTAGCACGTTTTTTGGCATCAACCCCTCTTTGCTCAGCTGTTTTTTGTCTTGTCTCTCCCACAGTGTGTACTCGGGGCACCAGTCCATCCTGATCCCCCCCTCAGAGCTGGAGCTCAACCCCTCCCTCTGGCTGTCGGCCGTCAGTCAGTTCAAGGTCCGAGACACTTTCTGCTCCTACAGCGTCATGGAGCTCTGCACCAAGGGACTGGGGCTGCAGACTGACTCCCTGAAGGTAAAGAGTGCTACTTTAAAGAGTCCTCTCCTGCTGATGTTCAGGTGTATATCAGTATGTAGTGTCTCTACTTTAAAGAGTCCTCTCCTGCTGATGTTCAGGTGTATATCAGTATGTAGTGTATCTACTTTAAAGAGTCCTCTCCTGCTGATGTTCAGGTGTATATCAGTATGTAGTGTCTCTACTTTAAAGAGTCCTCTCCTGCTGATGTTCAGGTGTATATCAGTATGTAGTGTCTCTACTTTAAAGAGTCCTCTCCTGCTGATGTTCAGGTGTATATCAGTATGTAGTGTCTCTACTTTAAAGAGTCCTCTCCTGCTGATGTTCAGGTGTATATCAGTATGTAGTGTCTCTACTTTAAAGAGTCCTCTCCTGCTGATGTTCAGGTGTATATTAGTATGTAGTGTCTCTACTTTAAAGAGTCCTCTCCTGCTGATGTTCAGGTGTATATCAGTATGTAGTGTCTCTACTTTAAAGAGTCCTCTCCTGCTGATGTTCAGGTGTATATCAGTATGTAGTGTCTCTACTTTAAAGAGTCCTCTCCTGCTGATGTTCAGGTGTATATCAGTATGTAGTGTCTCTACTTTAAAGAGTCCTCTCCTGCTGATGTTCAGGTGTATATCAGTATGTAGTGTCTCTACTTTAAAGAGTCCTCTCCTGCTGATGTTCAGGTGTATATCAGTATGTAGTGTCTCTACTTTAAAGAGTCCTCTCCTGCTGATGTTCAGGTGTATATCAGTATGTAGTGTCTCTACTTTAAAGAGTCCTCTCCTGCTGATGTTCAGGTGTATATCAGTATGTAGTGTCTCTACTTTAAAGAGTCCTCTCCTGCTGATGTTCAGGTGTATATCAGTATGTAGTGTCTCTACTTTAAAGAGTCCTCTCCTGCTGATGTTCAGGTGTATATCCGTATGTAGTGTCTCTACTTTAAAGAGTCCTCTCCTGCTGATGTTCAGGTGTATATCAGTATGTAGTGTCTCTACTTTAAAGAGTCCTCTCCTGCTGATGTTCAGGTGTATATCAGTATGTAGTGTCTCTACTTTAAAGAGTCCTCTCCTGCTGATGTTCAGGTGTATATCAGTATGTAGTGTCTCTACTTTAAAGAGTCCTCTCCTGCTGATGTTCAGGTGTATATCAGTATGTAGTGTCTCTACTTTAAAGAGTCCTCTCCTGCTGATGTTCAGGTGTATATCAGTATGTAGTGTCTCTACTTTAAAGAGGCCTCTCCTGCTGATGTTCAGGTGTATTTCAGTATGTAGTGTCTCTACTTTAAAGAGTCCTCTCCTGCTGATGAATAAGTAAATAAATAATTAGATAACTAAATGTTTTTGTTCTACTGCAGGCTCGGGGGTTGGACCTATCCCGGGTCAGGACCTGTGTGGTCGTAGCGGAGGAGCGTCCTCGCACCGCCCTCACTCAGTCCTTCTCCAAACTCTTCAAGGATCTGGGCCTCCACCCGCGGGCCGTCAGCACCTCCTTCGGCTGCCGGGTCAACCTCGCCATCTGCCTGCAGGTAACACAATAAACCAAAAGTACTCACATCCTTAACTCAAGTAGAAGTACAGATACTCTTGTTTAAAAATACTCTGGTAAAAGTAGAAGTACTGACTAAACTTATTTACTCAAGTAAAAGTAAAGAGGCTTTGAAATGTACTTCAGTAAAAAGTACCCATAACTAGCAGCTGTTTTAAAGAGTACCTGACCTCCCTTTATATTAATAGAACAATAATGTCATTGTTAGCTAATGAATGTTTCCATGCTGAACAACGGCAACGTGACAACGTTTCCATTGGTCCCTCTTCTTTAGAGAAGAGCAGGAAATGATGGATACACGGATCGTGTTCAAATCAATAGGCACGCAATGACTCTAAAGAATAATGATCACGCATCAAACACACATTCAGACTAAAGGAACCAGCTGTTTGGAAAATGAGAGAAGGAGAAAGTACAGGTATTTGAGTTCAACATGTAAGAAGTAGAAAGTACAGGTATTTGTGTTCAACATGTAAGAAGTAGAAAGTACAGGTATTTGAGTTCAACATGTAAGAAGTAGAAAGTACAGGTATTTGAGTTCAACATGTAAGAAGTAGAAAGTACAGGTATTTGGGTTCAACATGTAAGAAGTAGAAAGTACAGGTATTTGTGTTCAACATGTAAGAAGTAGAAAGTACAGGTATTTGAGTTCAACATGTAAGAAGTAGAAAGTACAGGTATTTGAGTTCAACATGTAAGAAGTAGAAAGTACAGGTATTTGAGTTCAACATGTAAGAAGTAGAAAGTACAGGTATTTGAGTTCAACATGTAAGAAGTAGAAAGTACAGGTATTTGAGTTCAACATGTAAGAAGTAGAAAGTACAGGTATTTGGGTTCAACATGTGAGAAGTAGAAAGTACAGGTATTTGAGTTCAACATGTAAGAAGTAGAAAGTACAGGTATTTGAGTTCAACATGTAAGAAGTAGAAAGTACAGGTATTTGGGTTCAACATATAAGAAGTAGAAAGTACAGGTATTTGAGTTCAACATGTAAGAAGTAGAAAGTACAGGTATTTGAGTTCAACATGTAAGAAGTAGAAAGTACAGGTATTTGAGTTCAACATGTGAGAAGTAGAAAGTACAGGTATTTGTGTTCAACATGTAAGAAGTAGAAAGTACAGGTATTTGTGTTCAACATGTAAGAAGTAGAAAGTACAGGTATTTGTGTTCAACATGTAAGAAGTAGAAAGTACAGGTATTTGTGTTCAACATGTAAGAAGTAGAAAGTACAGGTATTTGTGTTCAACATGTAAGAAGTAGAAAGTACAGGTATTTGTGTTCAACATGTAAGAAGTAGAAAGTTCAGGTATTTGAGTTCAACATGTAAGAAGTAGAAAGTACAGGTATTTGTGTTCAACATGTAAGAAGTAGAAAGTACAGGTATTTGAGTTCAAAATATAAGAAGTAAAAGTAAAAAGTCGTCAGAAAAATAAGTAGTGGAGTAAAGTACTGATACCAGAGAAATGTACTTAAGTACAGTAACGAAGTATTTGTACTCCACTACTTCCCACCTCTGGTGATAACAAATATTTGTATTGTGTTTCGACAATACATAACCAGTGTTAGTCATTTAGGTGACTCGCTGGCTGGATGTGGAGAAACTAGCTTTTTTCATACCTTTTTTAAGAAGCTGATTTTGACAAAAGCTACTGGTGCATTTCGTTTGTTTGTAAGATAAGATAAGAAGTACTTTATTGATCCCAATTCAGGATGTTTTTGTATTGCAGCAGCATAAAAAGACATTGTACAATACAAATGTAAAGACTAAAGATAAATGTTCCAAAATGTAAACATCTCAATAGAAATAAAATAGCATTAAAAAAAAAAAGTAGAAAATATACATGTTGAATTACAAATGTACAGTAACAAAATATAAAGCAGGATATGATTTATACATAAGTATCTGAGGAATAAAATATTAGATTGAATATAAATGTAAAATGTACAGTGTGTGTACTTGTGGAAGAAGTTAGCTGAAATAGTACGTTAGGAAGTTAGCTCTTTGTTAACAGGTCTTTTTGTTAAATGTCAATTAGCCTTAAAATGAATTGGTGCTTTTAGGGACCAAGGACTCATCTCAATCAGCTTTCCAGCTCTCAGATTAAACCATAAATTGAGTTTTATATCGTACAATTGTGGGCATTACAGGTTAAACCACATCCCTTCAATTCTGTCTGTATGGCATTCAAACTTTAGAGCATTTTATTTGATCTTATAGCCCAACATTAGCCACCTTTAGCTTAGCGGTGGTGACGTGAAGTCATGTGACCGTGCTGTAGTTCCTTTATAGCCCAACAATAGCCGCCTTTAGCTTAGCGGTGGTGACTTGAAGTCATGTGACCGTGCTGTAGTTCCTTTATAGCCCAACATTAGCCACCTTTAGCTTAGCGGTGGTGACGTGAAGTCATGTGACCGTGCTGTAGTTCCTTTATAGCCCAACAATAGCCGCCTTTAGCTTAGCGGTGGTGACGTGAAGTCATGTGACCGTGCTGTAGTTCCTTTATAGCCCAACATTAGCCACCTTTAGCTTAGCGGTGGTGACGTGAAGTCATGTGTCCGTGCTGTAGTTCCTTTATTGCCCAACATTAGCCGCCTTTAGCTTAGCGGTGGTGACGTGAAGTCATGTGACCGTGCTGTAGGTCCTTTATAACCCAACATTAGCCACCTTTAGCTTAGCGGTGGTGTCGTAAATTCAAAATATCGTACCATTTTGGGAATTGCAGGTTAAACCACATCACTGCGATTCTGTCTGTATGGCATTCAAAGTTTAGAGCATTTTATTTTATCTTTTGAAACATGTCTACACATCCTGGGCAGATGAACCATGTTTATTTTTGGTTTTAAAGTGTGTGGATGTAAGTGCAATAAGGACCATATGTACTTCTTTTTTTAAAGGTCACCTATTATGCAAAATCCACTTTTTCATGTCTCTTCTACATCAACTCTGTGTAAAGAGACTCTGAAAGTTTCAGGAACAAAGACTCTCTCTCTTTTTGTCCTGATCCATTTCTATAAAAACCTGTCTGAAAATGAGCTGATCAGATTTTGGCCACTTTATGATGTCATCATGATGTGTTGTCTTGTGTAACCATTAGCCAATCAGCAACCAAGGTAACCCCCCCCCCTTATCACCTGAATCTCCTCTAGAGCACCATTGTGTTCTTTGTAACCAAATGTCTCTCAGAGGGGCGTGGGGAGGGGCTCCTTATTTTCATCTAAAGTAACAGACAGAGAATCAGCACTTTGGAAACAGGGCTGAAACAGAGGGGATTATGGGTAATGCAGCAATGATCTGTTTGGTGTTTCAGCCAATCAGAGACAGGTTCTATATATATCTGAGACCTGTAATATATTGATGAGAAACAGTATGATAGGGGACCTTTAAACATGCAACATTGATATGTTTTAGGTACCAAATAACAGGTTTGCGGGGAGATTCAATAGTTGGACAATTATGAAAATTAAAGCCACAGTCGTTCTGTTCTTAATCATCAAAACAAAGTAAACTATTTAGGAGACTTTCAGCTCTTTCTGTGTGTCATTCCTCCATTTCCAGCCAATCATTGCTCTTACATCCCAGATATGATTTGAACCCTGAAGTGGATCAAATCATATTGTCTCCAAGTTCAATTTAAAGTTTATTTTTCTTATATTTTCTTTACCATTTGTTGTGTTTTTTTTAATTGTCACAAAGATTTATTTTCAAAATTAAATGGAGAGGACAATCAAACGATTTGGATTAAATCAGCAAAATTGTATTTAAAATATATTTATTATACTGTAAACATTTGTAATTTTTTATTTTTTATGAAATATGAAATAATGAATTGTTTTTTATTTATTTGTATTTTATGACTGTGCATTTTTATTAAATATGTTGTACTTTTTATATAAAAGTATTTATTTTGATCATAATACATATTTGTAATGTCACTAAGTCAGTAGAGGATAGAAGGACGTCATGTGATCTTAAATTACATGTATTTCCAATATTCCATTGAACTAAAGTATTGCTTAACATTGAGATATTGATCCTAAGTTATAGATAACATGTAAGCCTCTATGGAGAATATTCTACATATTGTTAGAGATATCAACATCATGTAATAACCTCTAACATGACACCATGTTTTATAGCAGCTTTCTTAATGAAACTAACAGCCGGCTGAACGCTCCTTTGGTTTCCTTCAGTTTGACATTTTTCTTTCTTTCTTTCTTTCTTCCTTCCTTGTTTTAATCATAACCCCACCCACATCTCTCATCTTCTTCCTCCTCCTCCTCCCTCCTCCTCCTCCTCCTCCTCCTCCTCCTCCTCCTCCTCCTCCTCCTCCTCCTCCTCCTCCTCCTCCTCCTCCTCCTCCTCCTCCTCCTCCTCTCTGCTGCTGTAGCCTCACAGGCTGGGGAAGTTTTCGGATCAGGTATGAAACACCATCACTTCCTTCCTGAAACACCACCACCTCCACCCACTTCCTGTCAGCTCATCAGCTAGCTTCAGAGCAGAGATTTTATGGAATATTATCAGTAAATCAGTCATTTTTTCAAGGTTACAGACGAAAGGAGCTGCAGGTAGTCTGGATTCACTAAAGTTAGCGCGTGGTCACACAAGAATTTAAGCTGAAAAGCAGAAATAATGCTCCAAAATCAACACGTTGTAATGTTAATCTGCAGAGGTCAATGGAGATCATTTGCTCAAAGGATTCCAAATTTTGGATGAGACGTGCACAATCGCTACAGCACAGTTTTGGCCTTGAACTTCTACAAGTAAAGCAGAAATAAGGAAAATATACTAGACTGAAATGATCTGAATCTGAAAGCACAACATCTGAAAAATATCTCAGTTTCAAAGCTTATATAAAAAGTGAAAAATGAAAATACATTTATGATTTTGAAATAATTCAGAAATGAAAAGTTTGAATGCATTATTATATTTTTCAGTGTTCAAGATCAAAAACCACCAAACCAAAAGGATGGAAAAATCCAAATTGTGGAGCAAAATTATTGTGTGAGCGTGCATTGATAATAGATTACAATAGTGACCTAAAAAAAATGTTTAAACACTTAAAAACTCAACAGAAACTTCTCCGCCAGTACAAACCATTTTGGTACTAACTCTTAAATTGTACAACAAATTGCTACATGATGGAGCTGATGCAGTCGGCCATGTTGTTCTCTGGGTGTGTGTTTGTGCCGCTGTGTGTCCGGTGGTGGGCTGTGTGTTCAGTTTCTCTCTGCGAAGGTTTATTAATCCCCTCTGAGAGAGAAACGAGGGGAAGGAGGGATGGTGGAGGAAGAGAGAGAGAGGAGCGGGGGTTTATCTTTCTGTTTCTCTGACTTCACTTCACGTTTTCACTCATAATCACAATAAAAAACAGAGGAGTATAACTGATATCCATAGAGTGGTGCTGGAATGAGTTGGCATTTTATCAGTTCCTGGAAGTCACAAGCTGAAGAGATGTTTGTTCTACGACATAAAATACATCAGCAAATACCCCACTGTTGGATTTAAAAACAGCCGTTGATAACAAGAGTCTAAATGAGACGACTAAACGTCATCACGCCCAACATTAGCCGCCTTTAGCTTAGCCATGGTGATGTGAAGTCATGTGACCGTGCTGTAGTTCCTTTATAGCCCAACATTAGCCTCCTTTAGCTTAGCGGTGGCGACGTGAAGTCATGTGACCGTGCTGTAGTTCCTTTATAGCCCAACATTAGCCGCCTTTAGCTTAGCGGTGGTGACGTGAAGTCATGTGACCGTGCTGTCGGTCCTTTATAGCCCAACATTAGCCACCTTTAGCTTAGCGGTGGTGACGTGAAGTCATGTGACCGTGCTGTAGTTCCTTTATAGCCCAACATTAGCCACCTTTAGCTTAGCGGTGGTGACGTGAAGTCATGTGACCGTGCTGTAGTTCCTTTATAGCCCAACATTAGCCGCCTTTAGCTTAGCGGTGGTGACGTGAAGTCATGTGACCGTGCTGTAGTTCCTTTATAGCCCAACATTAGCCTCCTTTAGCTTAGCGGTGGTGAGGTGAAGTCATATGACCGTGCTGTAGTTCCTTTATAGCCCAACATTAGCCTCCTTTAGCTTAGCGGTGGTGACGTGAAGTCATATGACCGTGCTGCAGTTCCTATAGCCCAACATTAGCCACATTTAGCTTAGCGGTGGTGACGTGAAGTCATGTGACCGTGCTGTAGTTCCATCCCTGCACCACTCTATAGGGTTGAATCCTATTTTCTAGATGTATATTTTCATGGTTTTTAATGTAGTGTATGTTCATCACCCCTGTTTTCCATCTTTCTTTTCCCCTCGGCTTGGTTTCACTTTCCCCTCTTTTTTCTTTCTTTGCACGCTAATCAAGTAGATTTTAGAAAGCTTTTTATGTTGGAATATCTTTGTTAATACTTTAATTTGTGTTTTCTTTTCTTTCTAAAATCATCCCGCTGCTGTTCTCCCGTAAATCCTGTAAAATGTTGTAGAAGCTTTCTGTCTGAAACTCAAAGCTCTTCCCTCTGAGCACTAAAAGCACGAGTAGTCGCCTCCACTGTAGGAGTAGATTAGTCATGCAGATGCACTATATTATTATTTGTATTGGTATTGAACAGTAAAGGTAAACAATGTGTTGTTGTTGTTCCTCAGGGTACCTCAGGACCCGACCCCACCACCGTGTTCGTTGACATGAGAGCGCTACGACATGACAGGTGAGATAAAACACTAACTTATTTATTGTTTTGTGACTAAGATATTGGAAACTAAAAGTAGTGGAAAACGTTAATTACCTTTACTTATAAGTAACTAGTAAAAGTACAAATACAAAATGTCAAAACCTGTATTTAAAGAGGCCTTGTTCTGCTTTTTAGGGTTTGTACAGTTAATACAAAAGCATAATCGGACCCCTTTAAAGCAGATCAAATAATATATAATAATAATCAGCTAATATCTTAAGACTTTCTGGAATTGTATGCTTGTATTTCTTGATCGGATTCACTTCCATTACATTTATTATTATTATTTGTATCACGTACCTGCGAAATGTCCCAATTTAAACATTAGTTATTTATAAAAAAATAAACTTTTCAGGGAAGACTTAATGAACCAACAGGAGGTTTAAAAAATAGTGTGCTCAGCATTAGTGTCAGATTTCATTTGCAGAGATGGTGAAACTGACATTTTCCAGGACACAGAAATGGACAACAGCTCATTGTTGACAAGCTGGAATATTTATGTATTCAAATTTCTCCTGACAAGATGATCCACTGGGATTAAAGGAGAGAAACTGAGATACAAAACTCAGACAGACACCAGCTCACTCTCAAAAAAAGTAAAAGTGTCAGGAGCAAGAGGTTCAGGTGTATATCAGTATGTAGTGTCTCTACTTTAAAGAGTCCTCTCCTGCTGATGTTCAGGTGTATATCAGTATGTAGTCTCTCTACTTTAAAGAGTCCTCTCCTGCTGATGTTCAGGTGTATATCAGTATGTAGTGCCTCTACTTTAAAGAGTCCTCTCCTGCTGATGTTAAGGTGTATATCAGTATGTAGTGCCTCTACTTTAAAGAGTCCTCTCCTGCTGATGTTCAGGTGTATATCAGTATGTAGTGTCTCTACTTTAAAGAGTCCTCTCCTGCTGATGTTCAGGTGTATATCAGTATGTAGTGTCTCTACTTTAAAGAGTCCTCTCCTGCTGATCCTCAGGTGTATATCAGTATGTAGTGTCTCTACTTTAAAGAGTCCTCTCCTGCTGATGTGTATATCAGTATGTAGTGTCTCTACTTTAAAGAGTCCTCTCCTGCTGATGTTCAGGTGTATATCAGTATGTAGTGTCTCTACTTTAAAGAGTCCTCTCCTGCTGATGTTCAGGTGTATATCAGTATGTAGTGTCTCTACTTTAAAGAGTCCTCTCCTGCTGATGTTCGGGTGTATATCAGTATACAGTGTCTCTACTTTAAAGAGTCCTCTCCTGCTGATGTTCAGGTGTATATCAGTATGTAGTGTCTCTACTTTAAAGAGTCCTCTCCTGCTGATCCTCAGGTGTATATCAGTATGTAGTGTCTCTACTTTAAAGAGTCCTCTCCTGCTGATGTTCAGGTGTATATCAGTATGTAGTGTCTCTACTTTAAAGAGTCCTCTCCTGCTGATGTTCAGGTGTATATCAGTATGTAGTGTCTCTACTTTAAAGAGTCCTCTCCTGCTGATGTTCAGGTGTATATCAGTATGTAGTGTCTCTACTTTAAAGAGTCCTCTCCTGCTGATGTTCAGGTGTATATCAGTATAGTGTCTCTACTTTAAAGAGTCCTCTCCTGCTGATGTTCAGGTGTATATCAGTATGTAGTGTCTCTACTTTAAAGAGTCCTCTCCTTGTTGTCCCCTCCTCAGGGTCAGACTAGTGGAGCGGGGGTCTCCTCACAGCCTTCCTCTCATGGAGTCTGGGAAGGTGAGTTGTTTTTTATTTTCTGTATTTCAAATGTTTGAATGATTTAAATATTAATGTTTGGTCTGTGATCAGATCCTGCCGGGGGTCCGGATCATCATCGCCAACCCGGAGACCAAAGGACCAATGGGAGAGTCGCATCTGGGAGAGGTACGTGTGCAAAAATGTTGTATAAAGAAGTAATAATTTCCCCTTGTAAATTCTGAGTACAAATCCTGCATATTGGCATCAAAATATACTTAAAGTACCAAAAGTAGAAGTATTGGGTAAAAAAAGCCAATTTAATACATATCATATTATATATAAGATGATCATTGATGCAATAAACCAAACAAATATGTAAAGATTTATATATATTTTTAATAAAGAAAGAAATTATGAATAAAACATAATAATATAACATCAAATTAGATAAATAAATAAACGTTTTAAACACCTCCCCTGCTCTAACATGCGACTGTCTCCAGATCTGGGTGCAGAGCGGCCATAACTCCAGCGGGTACTTCACGGTGTACGGAGACGAGGCGCTGCAGTCCGACCACTTCAACTCCAGGCTGAGCTTCGGAGACACGCAGACCCTCTGGGCTCGAACCGGGTATCTGGGGTTCCTGCGGCGCACCGAGCTGACGGACGCCAGCGGGGGTGAGGAGGGGGACTTGTTCTCATTCTTTATTAGGATCCCCATTAGCACTAGCATGAGCATTGGCTATTCTTCCTGGGGTCCTCACACACACACACACACACACACACACACACACACACACACACACACACACACACACACACACACACACTGTTGGAGATTTAAAGGGATATCTGATCCGCTTTTCAAATCTCCGCGCGTTCCTATGAAGCTGGTTAATACAGGAAGGAATCCATATCTACAAAGTAACCGTTAACAATAATCTACTTTAATGGCAATATGACAATGCAATACAATCATTACAATACAACATGATATATTACAGTTATATTGCAATGCTTAAGGAGTAATGCCGGCTTACTCCTGCTCTGGTCCGCATACTGCAGAGCTACTTTCACCCGAGGGCAGCATGTGAAGAAGAGGCCGAACGCCAGGGATCCACCGGATATATACCAGAGTAAGAAGGAGGGGTTTGGTGTTAGGTCAGCTGGTCATCTTTTCAGGTCATCTCATTGGGAGACGCAACGCAGCAGGAAACGCAGCAGGAAACCAAACAGGCTCACTTTCCAACAAAAGGTCTCAAGGCCTGCATACCTACACCTCCCCCACAGAGCAATAAAACCCTGTTTACTCCAACCAGCCCAGAATGTTTATAGCCATTTGTAGTCCTTACATTTATGAAAGGATAAAACAGAGAAATCAATATAAAACACAAACACAGGTATTGTTTGAACAGTATTCACTTAACTGCTACTGTTGATAACCACCAGAGAAACCCAAGGGACCTCTCTTAATATTACAACCACTGTAGCTCGTTCTAAGTTGAATGCAAATCAGGACATGCTCTCACCTTCCCCCATCTTCCTTTGTCCTCAAAAACACATGTCAACAGGCCCCAAATGCAGCTCACAGTTTTACCCAAATTATTCCCATTTTAAGCTTATCCATAGTTTGCTAACATGAATAAATACAAATATAACTCTACAACACACACACACACACACACACACACACACACACACACACACACACACACACACACACACACACACACACACACACACACACACACACACATAAAACAAAAACAAAACAGCTTATCATTTCATGCAATGCTATATGAAGTGAAAACTAAAATGGTCATCCCTTTTTATCCATCATAAGGCCAAACAAAAAATACAAATAATTGTACATAATCAATCAATGTTTTTTTATATCGCCCAATATCACAAATGTTACATTTGTCTCAGTGGTCTTCACAGTGTGTACAGAATATCAGTATGACAATACGACACCCTCTATCCTTAGACCCTCTGTCCTTAGACCCTCTGTCCTTAGACCCTCACATCGTACAAGGAAAAACTTCCGGAGAAAACCCACAGTTTAAGGGAAATGGGAGAAACCTCAGGGAGAGCAACAGAGGAGGGATCCCTCTCCCAGGACGGACAGACGTGCAATAGATGCTGTGTGTAAATTGAAGAGATAATACATTTGCAACATAGGTAGTCCAAATGTTTGGAAATGCATGTGTGTATAATAGGAAGATGAATCCACGGGGATATCCATCCAGGGCCTATGATCCAGGACCACAGCCACGACTCAAGATCCAGGGCTCGCGATGCAGGACACAGGACCGCAGGATCATCCATGACTCCGGATAATAATAATACATAGCCACAGTTCAATTATACTTTATAATACTGAGATGATTTTTTAGCAACCTTTTGAATTGGACATGAGAATTTTCCTGAATGACATGGACGGGTAAAGAGTTCCAGTCAAAAGTCAAAGTCAACTTTATTGTCAATCTCAAAATATGTTTGTACACACAGAAAGATCGAAACACTGTTTCCCACAGTCCTGAGGTCTAAATCAACACATTAAAATACAAGAACACTCAATAATTACAAATGAAACCCCACAAAATAACCGTTTACTTCAAGTAAGCAGGATATATATATAAAAAGGTGATGTACAAATGAGTGCCAGCTGACCATGGCTCTGTTTTCTGTCTCATATTTGATTTATATTCGGGTAATACGAAACATCCTTCTATTGCATGTCGTGTTGATAGTTATGTTGAGCAAACTGCGCTATAACCCTCTGTGATAATATATGTGGTAAGTGAGCCACTGTAATATTTCTGACCAAATGTAACAAAGTATAAATTGACCTCTGTCTGACACTTAACCATTTCAGTGTCTCTGGTTCTGCAGTGCACATCGGCACTTTAAGGGGGGATGGGGGCTGACCTTCAGAGTTCACAGAGAGGAGGATTAAAGGGCTTCAGGGAGGCGTTCAAGTGATGCCGCTAGTCTGCTTTTACACCGGAGAGACGATGTTTATAAATTTATAAAAATAAAACTACTATAATCTAATAATAGCTGACCAGGATTTGTTGAGTGTATAGAGCAGAAATGCAGCAGACTCATTGGAAATTACACACTTTCTCTCTTTTGTTTTCTGAACAGTTTTTGGTTTTTACTTCCGATATCGTGGAGGAAATGTAATTTAAAGAAATTCAAGTTAGAAACCATAGTAATAAATGTATAACCTATACATGTGTGTGTGTGCAGAGCGTCACGATGCTCTGTACGTGGTCGGAGCTCTGGAGGAGGCCATGGAGCTCAGAGGGATGCGTTACCATCCCATCGACATCGAGACCTCCGTCATCCGGACGCACAAGAGCATCACCGAGTGGTGAGTAACACCCGAGAATACTTTATCACTTTTCAAAGATAACTCCCACCAAGTTGTAATTATGTGTGCCTCTCAGAAGTAAAACAATTTACTCTTAAAAACTAATTATTCTCCTTGTTCTTCTTCTGTGCCTCCTGTTTATGATGCTCACACATTTTGTTCAGCAGGATAATCTTCACATATTAACACCAATTTATGATTCCTGAAGTAAAAAGCTAATGTTGGGCTATAAAGGAACTACAGCACGGTCACATGACTTCACGTCACCACCGTTAAGCTAAAGGCGGCTAATGTTGGGCTATAAAGGAACTACAGCACGGTCACATGACTTCACGTCACCACCGCTAAGCTAAAGGAGGCTAATGTTGGGCTATAAAGGAACTACAGCACGGTCACATGACTCCACGTCACCACCGCTAAGCTAAAGGTGGCAAATGTTGGGCTATAAAGGAACTACAGCACGGTCACATGACTTCACGTCACCACCGCTAAGCTAAAAGCGGCTAATGTTGGGCTATAAAGGAACTACAGCACGGTCACATGACTTCACGTCACCACCGCTAAGCTAAAAGCGGCTAATGTTGGGCTATAAAGGAACTACAGCACGGTCACATGACTTCACGTCACCACCGCTAAGCTAAAGGCGGCTAATGTTGGGCTATAAAGGAACTACAGCACGGTCACATGACTTAGTTCGTAGATCAAAAATCTCTTCAGCTTGTGTTAACCACAGACATTATTTCACGCTAACAACAGAAAACACATTGACTTCCTACTCATTCCTAGGGTTTTAGGACTTATTCTTATACCACTGACTTGTTCTTCTTGTTCTCCCCTCCTCAGCGCGGTGTTCACCTGGACCAACCTGCTGGTGGTGGTGGTGGAGCTGGACGGATCGGAGCACGAGGCTCTGGATCTCGTGCCCCTGGTAACCAACGTGGTTCTGGAGGAGCACTACCTGATCGTAGGCGTTGTCGTGGTCGTGGACATCGGCGTCATCCCCATCAACTCCCGTGGCGAAAAGCAGCGAATGCACCTCCGCGACGGATTCCTAGCCGACCAGCTGGATCCCATATATGTGGCGTACAACATGTAGCACCCCCTGGTGGACAACATGGAGGCGGAGGAAAGGAAAAATAAGTTCTGCCCCAGAGACTGAAACTATAAAAAACCGGAGTCAGACTTTTTTTCACGCTGATTCGTCGCTACGTGCTGCTGCCAACTTAGCTCCCGAAAATCAAGTGGTTGTGTTGTATTTGCGCTCAGGCCGTGCTTTTATTTTGAAGGATGCAAAAATGTGCAGCAAACTCCATTCAAAGCAAGAAAGTTCTTTCCTTTTTTTACCCGAAATAAGTGTCAATCCTGGAGGCGGAGAAGAGAACAATCGCTAACGAAGATTCTGGTTTTTAAATTGCGTTCGATTCAAGTATTTTTTCTTTAAACATAAAAAAAGTTCAAGCTATTTTTTGATATTTACACAAAAACAAACATCCGTGGCATAGATGATATTTTATCAAATCACAGAGAGCGGGTATGTTTTGATACGAAGGTCGGGTCGTAGCGAACTTTACGATGAGGTACGACACGCTTGATTCATGCTAGCTTGTTGTTTTTGTTTGTTTTGTAAACGTTACTTTGTTTATTATTTTCCGAACCGTCCGTCCCGTTTCAGCGGGAGGTCAGTGTGCTAATAGCTGCAGCCTTTAACTCCAGTTACTGTTCAACAACACATCATTTCATATCATGTAAGTATGTACAAAAAGAAACTGATTTAATTTATTTTGTTTCTCTTTTAGAAGTTTACGATGAGACATTCAAGAATGTTTTGCTCTTGAATATTTGCTATTATTACAAAAAAACACCTAAAAAGCATTGTATTATCTGGAGGGAAACACACTCATGGACGGGGAAATAGAAATATATATAATTATAGATTATATTAAACGTTAGGGATTCACAGAATAAAGACACAGGTCGAACTGCATGTTGGTCTGAGATGTTTAAATCAGTGAAATTAGACATTTTCAGGAGTTTTATTCCACATGAAGAAATCTGAACCAACTCTTGTATTATATTAAGTCTGTAGAAGTTCAGTTTTTTACAATAAAAAGTAGGAAATATATGAAAAATCATCCTTGCCCTTAAATGACAAATACCAGTGTTTACAGCCCAGCCCAAAAAAATAAGTGCCATTGTATTTTAAACCTTTTAAAATATGTTGTATGTATGAATTTATAATCCAAAACATCAGAGAAAAAATTGAAATATTCTTCTCCCTCCATTTTGACTCCGTAACACAGTGACATCACTAAAAACACCTCTATAACTAAAATAAGAATAAGTGCCGTTTTCAAAGAAGAGACATGTTTTGATGGCAGAGGAATATGATAGTAATGTCACTTTTCAGATATTATATTTTTGGATCAGAACTCTTCATATGTCGCGTTCATCAGGGAGCAAATGCCATCTCTAAAATGAAACTCCTCCATTCAAACAGACCAACATGCAGAACAGGATTCATTTAGGAACATTACAATAAAGAATCCTCAGCAACTCTTCAGAGGGACGGCAGGAAGGCGAGCAGCCGCTACGATTGTAAATATCGAAAAAGTCAAAAGTCCGTCATATTTTTTACACGGACCGATCAATCAGGGCTCGAACTGAGATGTCACGGCAGGACATACAAGACTGAAAACAGGAAGTGGAGAGCGGAGAGAGGTTTCGCAGGAAATACGAGAATGTTCTAGTTTCAACACGAGAAAAAAAAAGCACTTTCTTCACCGTTTGTTTCTTTCTTTTATCAGCGAGATGTATGTCGTCGTCCCCCCCAGTATGTTTTTTTTAAAGGTTTTAAAAATGTCTTATTTGAGTTGACATGAAGTCTTTCAATTAAATAAATATTTCAACGATTTTGACAATAAAAAATGGGATGTTGTGTATTTATTGTTGTCGCTACGCAGCGGGTCTGACTGATTCACAAAGCACCTTTCAACCTTTATATATACGGTCTATGCTTTCAACACAAGGCAATTCAAAGTGCTTTACAAAAATGAAAACATTAAGAAATACATATTATAAAATGGCATTTAAAAACAGTCTTTAAAACTGTTTCCCAGATACTCTTGTTACGCCCCTGGTCTAGGGGAACTTAGGTGCAGCACAAAATGTGCACTCTCCCCACTCCCAAGAACACGGACACTGAGTCAGAGAATGCCGTTTGGTAAATTTAATTACCAACAAAGTATTACCAAACAGGAGTAACAAAACCATAACACAAACAAACATTTAAACACAAAAACCTTACCTAACGAAAGAGAAAATAAACATACAGGCTTCTTACCTATTCTACTGTAAAAACAGGAGAAAACGAATATTCAAAAGAAAAGGGTTTTGCTCTCCTAAGAAAAAAGACAGGTTCAGTAGCTTTTCATACAACAGTCTCACGACACAAGAGAAGAACCGGTATAAATAAGTATTTAGCACAACAGGACAGATATCGTACGCAAATTTGTGTTGGGAGAAGTCAAGTCAGAGAGAGCGGCCGAGGAACTGCACGGCTGCAGCTTAATATCCTCCCGTCTCCCCAGGTGGACCAATCAGCATGCAGAATGTAGCTAATCAGCTAATGGGCACCACCTGCTTGCTCTCACACACACACAGGAGGGAAAAATGTACACACAAATGACCTAACGACCCAGGGTCGTAACCCTCTCTTCTTAATGCGCATAGATCATTTTTATATCGGTTCTTTTAGATTCCTCAAATCTGGGACTTCGACCTCTAATCACATTTATTACAACTTCATTATTATTTATTGAGTTGTAAAGTGACCCCTGTGAAAAACATTTCAGCATTTGAAAACCAAGTCTATAGTATGTACAGAAATGTGAAAAACCATTAAAGGTCATGGCCATTTCTACTGATCATAATTCCATCGTTGAGGTCTACTAGAATAGATGTATATTGTTCAATGTTCCAAACTCACATTGGTTTCTCATACAGCATCTCTGCTGCTGCGTGGGGTCTGGGTGTCGTGTTGGCGGGACGTTGCGGGGCTCGCTGCTCCGCCCTTTGAGGCTCGAGGAGCGGACAGTGGGAGCTGGGTTACTGGTGTCGTTTCCTGGTTGCTGCGTGGGGTCAGCGAGACACCGAGAAACTCAGCCTGAACTCAGTCTCAGCACCTTGGACGCGGAAAGGGGGGGGGTGCTGAGGAGGCTGCAGCACCCCGATCTGCGAGGCTCCACTAGCACCCGCACCTACAGTGTAACGGCCCGTCCACACTACAGCGTCTGCAGCGTCGACAGCTTCAATCTGCCCATTCACTTTGAATGGGGTGACGTCACGTTGCCGCTTTTTTTCGCCGAACTGAATTGTGGGTAGCAGAACGGTCCGTCTCAGGCGACTCAGGCGACAGAAGTTGAACAATGTATATATATATATATATACATATATATATACGGTATATATATATATAGATAGATATATATACGGTATATAGATAGATATATATATATACGATATATAGATATATATATATACGGTATAAATATATAGATAGATATATATACGATATATAGATAGATATATATATATACGGTATATATATATATATATATAGATATACGTATATATATATATAATATATACGTATATATATATATATAATATATATATATATATATATACGTATATATATATATTATACGTAATATATACGTATATAACGTATATATATACGTATATATACGTATATATATATACGTATATATATACGTATATATATATACGTATATATAAATATAATAGATATATATATATACGTATATAGATATATATATATATAGTATATATATATACGTATATAGAGATATAATATATATATATACGTATTATATATATACATATATATACATATAAGATATACGTATATATATACGTATATATATATATATATATACGTATATATATATATATATACGTATATATATATATATACGTATATATATATATAATAAGAACATATATATATAGACATATATATATAGACAGTGGGTGAAACTGGTAGGTTTTCGCCTGTTTGGGGAGTTTATATATATATATATATATATATATATATATATATTGCTCCCATAAAATCCCCGGGGGTTTTTGCTTTGTATGTCGGGGGCGGGAGATTCATGTGATTGGTTGTTGGTTGTGTTGCTTGAATAACATCCCCAAGCTTCAGACACGCCCAGCTCCAAGCTTTTTTTGAAGCTGTAGTGTGGACGCTCCGTAAGAGCGCCGCTGAGAGTGTGTGTGTGTGGAGCTCCACGGATTGGTCTATGTGTTAGTTTTACTCTCTACAGGGTGTACTTTGAGGGTTTTGACTGCAGACCGTTTACATGCAGAAAAACCTTCATAACACAAGGGGACGGGTGATAACCGGAAAAGCACGACATGGGACCTTTAAAAAAAAGTCATAGAATAGTATGTGAAAGGTTTGAAAAGAAGTCAAAGTATGTCGGAAAATTATCCATAGTATAGTATGTGATTTTTTTGTTAAGTCTTAGTATAGTATTTCTTGAAATGTGAATAAAATAGTTAAGTATGTTAAAATTATGAAAAAACTGGTATATCAATAAAACAAAAAATCATAGCATTTGAAGGGTTTGAAAACAGTCAAAGTATGTAGGATGTATACAAACATTTAGAGTAGTATGTCGAAGGAAATGGTATAGTATGTGGGAAAATATGAAAAAGCCATAGTAAGGAATGTCGAAATATTTGTACTTAGTACTTGAATTTATTAAAAAAAGTCAAAGTATAGTACCTCTAGAAATGTAAAAATGAAAGTGTAACGTATGTGAACAATTACAAAAGTCAAAGTATAGTATGTTATTATTTGATAAGATAGGACAGTGTGTTGAATAGTACGTCAAATAAAATAGTCGCATTATGGTAAAGCAGAATGATAGTCTGAACGGTTGATCTTCAGAAACAGGAAACACTGGAGCCTCAGAAACTTGTTGATACATTTATTTCCTCCATGTTAGCACATAGAATATATTTATATACATATTGCTAGCTAAAGCATCAAAACAAAACGAAATGTCAGGAGCATAGAAAATAAGTGTTAAACCACATTTAATAGTTTACATATGGACAGAAGATGAGGCGGGAAACTGTATTCTGCTTTGACTCCACAGTCGGTACTATGTGGAACAAAGACGATAACAAGTCCAGTTTGAGGGATTCAAACCACTTTTAACTCGACTGTAGTTCCAGAAAATGTATAAACGTCATTGTCATATTGCTGTCTTTTTTTCAAGGAGTCGAAAGAAACACACTTTACTCATGCAGGTAAAAAAACAAACAGGAATGACATCCAAGACCTATTCTCTTTTTATTAAAACGGCTGGATGGACGAATATAAAAGCTGTAATAGAAAATGTTTCACCTTCGACAGAAAAGGGAGGTTTTTAATCGACGTTTTGCTTGAGTTTCATCAACGTTTGAGATGTGTGTGTGTGTGTGAGCTGAAAAAGCAGTTTAGATATGAGTGTGTGTGTGTGTGTGTGTGTGTGTGTGTGTGAGAGCTGAAGGTACAGTTTAGATATGAGTGTGTGTGTGTGACTCAAAACTAATTAAAACAATGCAGAAAGAAAGTGACACATCTCAGAGATAAGCGGTTGTACATTGTACAAAACTAGAACTAACAGTCGTCTGTGAACACAGGAGAAACAGATATCTGTGAATCCATCTATACAATATAATATGAAGGAGGATTTATTTACATGTAGTGCAATGATGATGATGATGATGATGAAGATAGAGGAGGAACATTGTATTAAACCAGAAGCTGCGGGATGAACAGAGAGAGGTCAAACTGTACAATTACATCTTAAAGTGATACACTTAAATGAGTTTCAAAAAATAAAAAAGACTCGAGAGAGAAGTCTGGTACCGTAAATCCTCTGAGAGTGGGCTGCTTTTTTAATTACCGTACTGTTTAGGATAGAAGTCCTTTCTTTTCACTGCTTTTTCCAATTCAAATCTTATTTAGACTCAAATAAACGTTGAATTTGTCCAAAACAAGTATTTTGTGTGCCTTAAAGCTGTTTTTGACTCAAACCCGTTAAAAACTCATCAAAAAGCCACACGGTGCATTTTTAAAACACACATACTGCACTTTATATTGATGTAACCCCCTCATACACTGCCCTGCTGCCACACATACTCACTAGAGCACCACATGTGGATTCATCCGCCACTGAAAGTAGTCCCTGTGAAAAAGCTCACAATAAAAGCCTTTCAAGGAAACGGGAGATATTTTATAAAAATGTTAGAAACAACAAATGTTTTTGGATAAAACAGGATAATTAAATGAGCTGCCATTAAACACATCATTAAATGAATAGATTAAAAACATGTAACATCATTAGTCAGAGCTCTAACTAACAGAGGAGCTGCTATAGTGAGGAATATCTCAAGCATTTATTAAGTTAATGAAAAAAACTATTGCTTTCTTAAATTTTGAAGTTAATGAGCAGTTGCATTATAACGTTGAAATACAAGTTATAAAACATGTTGTATATTTTGCTGTTGGTTTAAAACAGTAATGCACGTCTACGTCACAGTACACACTCTTTTAGCAAAAAGTACATACTTCATTTTCTAATTATGTAGTACTGTGGCGCTGATCCGTCTCTGTCGTTCTATTCGACACCATTTTCATATTATTTGAGTAATTTTACAGTTTTTGACGAACAGAAATATTGTTTTCTGGCACAACACGATTTACAAAGGTATTTCAACTTTAGTTTTGTCTATTTAATGGACCGTTTTAGTGTATGAGTATGTCGTGTGGCATTTGATGAGTTTTTATTTGAAGTCAAAGAAGCTACAGGACTTTAAATCTGGTTGAGTTGAAGGAAGCTCCTCCCACTACGTGAGGATTTACGGTATTTTATTTGTCACATGTCGACAGAAGACGTTTATTAACAGCCGTCTGTGTGTAAAAAAAAAGCGATCTATACAGAGTAAGTGAAGCATTTCCTCCGTTCAGTCAGTCTTCATTACTGAGGAAACAGACTTTAAAAGTGTGTCGCACTTCTCAAAGAAAAACCGGACAATTGAATTGCCCCTTTTTAAAAAACGAGGCTTTCCCGGCGTGTTTAAACACCGCGGGGAGAGCCGTAGAAAAAGGTTAGTTTGATCACATTTTGCATAAAGTTTTATATTGGTCCATCCGTCGTCACTGCTTATCAAACACCAAGCTTTTTGTTTACCGTAATGAAAGGATGACGCTATCAACATGCATGGAGAAAAGGAGAGAACAGGCACTGACCACCAACTACAGCAACGCAGTGAAAGGGTTAAAAAATAAAATAATCACTAGAAAAATGACTCACGGAAATCTGAAAAATATACAGAATGATTTCAGTTTGAGGACGAGGACCTGGTCGTAGGTAGGATCGAGACAATGTCTTTTTTTGGCAAGCTTTTGGGAAACAAAGTGTGAAAAACTGTCATGTCATGTGACCTCTCCAAGATCCAGCTCAGGGGAGATTGCTCTGCATTTCTCTTCATTTAAAACCAATTACAAACGTCTTTTGTTTTCTCATATTTGACTCGTAACAACTTGAATAAAGAGCCTCAAAATGTGCATAACTATATTATAATTTAATAATACATGGAAGATTTATTTGTCGGCGTCTTTCTTAAGGCCAACGTTAGTAACCCTGTTCCCAATAAGAAGGTAGGTAGAAATCATAGGAGAGATGCTATTAAATTATATTATGAGCCAAATCAGTATCTTACGCAGATTTTTTAAACAATTTTCCCGAATGGAAGCGGAGCTAGTTTGATGCTGATAGTACTTACGGTATTTTTTTGAATATTTAAATTGTAATATCGACGGTGTGTTTGTTTGCATTTACAGTAAGAAAAGTGATTTTGAAAAAATCCAGGTAATAAAATGTATACGCTCGTCCGTTACTACACACTTAGATAACACATTCTCAAAGTTAGCACTTCAGTAAAGAAAGGAACCCCCCCCCCCCCCCAAAAAAATCATTATCATACTCTGCATCGGAGCAATCTGGTATAAAATTAATTAAAATGGGGCACGTTAAATAATAAAAATTAAAAAAACGGGGACAAATTGCTCGTCTCACACAAAGTTTTCAGGAAGGCAAGTAGTTGAGAATCAGTGTGTGTGTGTGTGTGTGGTAGACACTGACTGACGGAAGGGAGGGAGGGGTTCAGGGAGCCAATGGCGTTGTGTGTACAGGTGTGAGGGGGAGGGGCTTGTTCATCTCTTCCTGCGGCAGGTGCGTTTGTGGTCGGCGTGCCAGTGCTCCTGCTGACACTTGATGGAGCAGTAGGAGGTGTTCCAGCAGCAGTGATACATGGCTTCCTCCTCACAGTTATAACACTGGAAACACAACGGGGGGGGGGGGGGGGGGGGGGGGGGGGGAACAAATCATTACATTAATTAAGAATAAATAAAGTGAGCTTCACCAAAACGACAAAAATATGCAAACATGTAATCGAGTCAGGAGGTATTAACAACAGAGAGGAAGTCTGTGTTAAACTTTACATTCCGGCCCGTCCACACTACAGCTTCAAAACAAGCTTGGAGCTGGGCGTGTCTGAAGCTCGACCAACAACCAATCACATGAATCTCCCGCCCCTGACACACAAGCAGCGGTTTGATTGGCTAGAGCTTGTACTGGCATATGATTTGATTGGCTGACGCTTCCACCGAAAGCTTCAGAAGCTTCAAAAGTTGAACATTGCTCAACTTTTGAAGCCTGAAACGCCAGGAAAGCTCCGCTCTGCTTCCCACAATGCAGTTCGGCGAAAAGTGACGTCACCCCATTCAAAGTGAATGGGCAGACGCGTTGGAAACCGTTTTTGAAGCTATCGAAGCTTTAGTGTGGACGGGCCGTCAAAGTGTAGTTCAGTATAGAAAACTATTATTAAAAAAAGTTATATATATATATATATATGACAGAATTCTGACTTTAATCTCAGAATGAAAAAAAGAAATCTTTTAAACTAATTTCGTTTTTTCCCCCAGAAAATAATTTATTCAGAATTCTGACTTTTTTCCCAGGATTCTGAATAAATTATCATTATTTATTTTTCTGGAAGTCTCAATGATAGAATTATAAAAAATATAGAATTCCCAAAAATTCAGAGATTAAATGGAATTTTCTTTCCGATTTGTTTTCTTCAGATTTCCCCCCCAAAAATCAGTTTATAGTCAGATCCTTTTTTTCCACCAGTTTGTGCAAAATAAGACATTTTGGACAAACTAACAAATAAATGTTTTCCATTTACAAAACTCAAGGGATCAGATATACCCCCGCAGCAGTTTTAGTTTAACTTAAGTCTCTATTTTATTGCTTTGATTAGCCGCTACAATCACAGTGAACTAAAAAAGCAGATTTGACTTTCTACGTGTGAATTTATTGTGATTATCGTACGCTAGGAGGAAAACAGCCTGTTGAACACTGAGGGCAAACATTTTGGATTGAGCACTACATGTAAAATATCTATATTGTGTTAAACTGAATAACTGAGACCGGATCGACTCAAGTTCATCAGCAGGTGAGGACTCTTTAAAGTAGAGACACTACATACTGATATACACCTGAACATCAGCAGGAGAGGACTCTTTAAAGTAGAGACACTACATACTGATATACACCTGAACATCAGCAGGAGAGGACTCTTTAAAGTAGAGACACTACATACTGATATACACCTGAACATCAGCAGGAGAGGACTCTTTAAAGTAGAGACACTACATACTGATATACACCTGAACATCAGCAGGAGAGGACTCTTTAAAGCAGAGACACTACATACTGATATCCACCTGAACATCAGTAGGAGAGGACTCTTTAAAGTAGAGACACTACATACTGATATACACCTGAACATCAGCAGGAGAGGACTCTTTAAAGTAGAGACACTACATACTGATATACACCTGAACATCAACAGGAGAGGACTCTTTAAAGTAGAGACACTACATACTGATATACACCTGAACATCAGCAGGAGAGGACTCTTTAAAGTAGAGACACTACATACTGATATACACCTGAACATCAGCAGGAGAGGACTCTTTAAAGTAGAGACACTACATACTGATATACACCTGAACATCAGCAGGAGAGGACTCTTTAAAGTAGAGACACTACATACTGATATACACCTGAACATCAGCAGGAGAGGACTCTTTAAAGTAGAGACACTACATACTGATATACACCTGAACATCAGCAGGAGAGGACTCTTTAAAGTAGAGACACTACATACTGATATACACCTGAACATCAGCAGGAGAGGACTCTTTAAAGTAGAGACACTACATACTGATATACACCTGAACATCAGCAGGAAAGGACTCTTTAAAGTAGAGACACTACATACTGATATACACCTGAACACCAGCAGGAGAGGACTCTTTAAAGTAGAGACACTACATACTGATATACACCTGAACATTAGCAGGAGAGAACTCTTTAAAGTAGAGACACTACATACTGATATACACCTGAACATCAGCAGGAGAGGACTCTTTAAAGTAGAGACACTACATACTGATATACACCTGAACATCAGCAGGAGAGGACTCTTTAAAGTAGAGACACTACATACTGATATACACCTGAACATCAGCAGGAGAGGACTCTTTAAAGTAGAGACACTACATACTGATATACACCTGAACATCAGCTGGAGAGGACTCTTTAAAGTAGATACACTACATACTGATATCAACCTGAACATCAGCAGGAGAGGACTCTTTAAAGTAGAGACACTACATACTGATATACACCTGAACATCAGCAGGAGAGGACTCTTTAAAGTAGAGACACTACATACTGATATACACCTGAACATCAGCAGGAGAGGACTCTTTAAAGTAGAGACACTACATACTGATATACACCTGAACATCAGCAGGAGAGCACTCTTTAAAGTAGAGACACTACATACTGATATACACCTGAACATCAGCAGGAGAGGACTCTTTAAAGTAGAGACACTACATACTGATATACACCTGAACATCAGCAGGAGAGGACTCTTTAAAGTAGAGACACTACATACTGATATACACCTGAACATCAGCAGGAGAGGACTCTTTAAAGTAGAGACACTACATACTGATATACACCTGAACATCAGCAGGAAAGGACTCTTTAAAGTAGAGACACTACATACTGATATACACCTGAACATCAGCAGGAGAGGACTCTTTAAAGTAGAGACACTACATACTGATATACACCTGAACATCAGCAGGAGAGGACTCTTTAAAGTAGAGACACTGGTAACTCACCCACTGCTTCTTCTTGGTGGTGGAGATGAGTTGTTTGTGTTGAGCCACCATCTTCTTCACCTCCTCCACCAGCTCCTCTTTACACTTCTCCTTCACCTGCTTACACTTCCTCTCCATCTCTCCCTGAGCTCCAGACACCGCCTTACTGACCGCCTGACGCTTCTCCTCCTCCATCTCTGCCCGCAGCTGTGTCACACACACACACACACACACACACACACACACACACACACACACACACACACACACACACACACACACACACACACACACACACACACACACACACACACACACACACACACACACACACACACACACACACACACACACACACACACACACCACACACACACACACACACACACACACACACACACACACACACACACACACACACACACACACACACACAAAAAGGAAGAACGAGGGTTATAAAGGAAGGACAAAGAACACACACAGACGCACGGACGACCGATTCACCACTTTCATTAATCATAAATATTGTGTTTGACATTTGATGGCCTCCACGCTTTATGATATAACCCACAGTGGTCCTTTGAATATATCAAACTGCTGATCTCCACTTTCTTTGGAGGTTTAGTCACCTCTGTAACACCTATGATGTTCAAAAATAACCTCCATAGGAAATGAATGGGTAACCCTAGATCGGGTCTCAAACTCCGAACTGCAAATCAATCCGGACTGAACCCTGTGTCCCATTATAAAAACGTTGTGATTCTGATGTAAATTAATGTATATGTTCTTGTGTCTGACGCGTTGTGAGAATGAACGTGCATATATATATTTACTTGTGTGTGCAAGCGTCACACGCATTGCAGACCTTGACTTTCTAAAGCTTCTAATGCCATTTTTGCCGAGGTTCAAGGCATTGGCTACAGACAAACTGCCATTTCTCACACTAGTTCAAGCCACCATACTATACTGTATGTATGTATTGAATGTGTGTGTGTGTGTGTGTGTGTGTGTATACAGCAGCGCAAGACAGGCAAGTGCTTGGACCAGAAGGGGGCCCCCAAAGAAGGTAGATTAAGAAAGTCCATAGTAACGACAACATGAAACACCCTTTAAGTTACTGCAACGACAAACCCCCTCAAGGGGCCCCATGCATAGCGCCGTAAGAAACTGCTTCTTAATTTCAGTTTCGTTGTTCCGCTCCGGGGGGGGGGACCTTTGAACATAATCTAGGGCAGGGGTACTCCAACTTTTTTATTAACCAACACAAACACACACACAACCATGTCAATTTTTGAATACATGTTCAGTGTCCCTGCAGTTCTTCACGTAAACCAGAGGTCTGAGATATTGGTCCCAGCTTCAAAGGGTGTTAAATGAAATGTGGTGATGAAGTGGAAAACAACCAGTAAAAGACGTCCTCGTCCCCCTCACCTTCTCCAGCGCCTCCCGCACCACCCTCTCCGTCTCCCTCTTGTTGTCGGCCTTCATCATCTCCTTCACGTCGTTGAACACCTTGGTGTACTTCTCGTGGCACATGTTCTGGCAGGCGCTCTCGCTGCTGGTCTGCGTGCCGCGGTGCAGCGTCCGAGGCGACCCCCCGCTCGTCTTCTTGGTCTGCGTGGACACGGAGAGCTTCTCTGGCTGAGGAGGAGCAGAGGACACGGGGATCTCCTGACTGGAGCTCACAGCCTCCATCTCTGGCTCGGGGTCCTGCAGGAGAGACGAGACGTGAGACTGGAGCGATGGAGGACAACAAGAGAGACGTTAAGGTGTTTCAGAAACACTGAGGCACAGAGTTAGTGCACAGTTACACAAGATGTAATGACACAATGCGATTTATCTGAACAATTAAGATGCGGTTTGCAAGATTCCAGGGACTGACAAGGGTGTTTTATATTTGTTTTTTAACTGTTTTTTTGCAACAGAGAGGCGAAGACCCTCCCTCTCCGGGGAGCTCCATGGACCTTATTTCGGATAAATCATGTATTGAAGTCAATGGAGAGAGAAAAGTAATCTTTCGATCCCGTTTGAATTGTGCCACGAATTACACATAGATGTTTGTCAATCTAAAAGATAATTTCGCAAGTAAAAAATAAATAAAGTGAAGTAACACTTTGTTTTGTGTGAAACCGCTCAATGAACTACAACTCCCATCCCGCACCACAGACCCAGACGGCCGTCACGTTGAAACATTTCACTCCTTTCTTTCAGAACGAGGCGGAAAGTATTAAAAGAGGTGAAAATCACTCCAAGTCTGGGCGCGTTGAGAGCTGTACACACACACAAGGGGAGTTAGTCGGTTCCTAAGAGCCAGCATGCGGGACCGGGACTCTGGGATTTGTAGTCTTTCTAGTTGCATATTTTTCATAGTCTTATATTTCAACAGTTTTACGACAAACTGACTTTTTTGACATGGAAATTATTATTTAAGATCGACAAACATCATGTGTGTAACTCGTGGCACAATTCAAACGGGATCGAAAGACAAGTTTTCTCTCCATTGACTTCAATACATACTTTTTCCGAAATAAGGTCCCATGGGTCGGAAGTAGAAGTGCGGGACTTCACCTCTCTATTGATTTCCTGCATTATTTATTTTTCTGTGTTTGTGAAGCAACTTATAAAGAAAGTTCTCAAAGATGTTAAATTGGTAGTTATTTTAGAAAAGATATTTCAAATACATATGGATGGAAACAAGAAAGGTGTTTAGGTGTTTCAAATTGAACTGATGCATTGAGTTACTGCACGGTTATACAAGATTTAATAAGACATTTAGATTCATTTGCACCGTTATAACAGTTAAGATGCGGTTCCAAAAAGTGTTTTTTTTTGCAAATATAGTTTTTTTTACTGCCGTTTTTATTTGTTATTTTTGTTTTTATGCAAGTGCGTTCCTGCTTTCTTTTATTTGTCTTTGTTCGTGAAGCAAGAAAGGTGTTTAGGTATTTCAAATTGAACTGATGTACACGGTTACTGCAAGTTTTAATGACAAAATGTGATTTATTTGAACAATTAAGATGCGGTTTGCGAGATTCAAGGGAATGACAAGTGTTTTATTGCAAATATAGTTTTTTTACCTCCGTTTTTATTTGTTATTTTTGTTTTTTAACAGTGTTTTTCAAATCAAATCAAGTTTGATTTTTATTTTATGCAATTGCATTCTTTCTTTGATTCTTCAGGAGGTGTAGCTCTGTGTGAGTTACTGCACGGTTACTTCAGAGTGAGACAAGTTTTAATAACAAATTGCATTTCATTTTCACTGTTATAACAATTAAGATGTGTTTCGGAGGTTAGGGAATAATACGTGTTTTTTTTATTGCAAATATTGTTTTTTTACCGCCTTTTTTTAAACTGTTTTTATGCAATTGCTTTCCTGATTTCTTTTATTTTTCTGTGTTTGTGAAGTACCTTATCAAGAAAGTTTTGAAAGGTGCTAAATCGGTAGTTATTTTATCAAATATATACATTTAAAAACAAACACATACATGTTTTTCTGTCATAAAAATAATCTGTAATATCTTAATGCATCTGGAAATGTAGTGTGTGTGTGTGTGTGTGTGTGTGTGTGTGTGTGTGTGTGTGTGTGTGTGTGTGTGTGTGTGTGTGTGTGTGTGTGTGTGTGTGTCTCACGCTGGCTTCTTCTTTGGGCTCCACTATTTGAGTTCGACGGCTTTTCTTGGCCTTGGGCTCCAGGCTGCCTTTGAGCTGGAAAAAGGACGAAAAATAACATAAAATAACATAAATGTTTTCACCAAATGGAATAATTAATTACCTTTGTCAAATAAATACCACCAGCCATGTGATAAAGTAGATAAATATAAAAAAACAACTTAAAAAGACACTTAAATACTAAATAACTTTACCATGTTGCACTAGCAATGTGCTTTCCAGCCACCAGGGGGCGCTGTTTACTGTTTCTCTCCACAGTATTTCTGATGTGTTTCACTGCTCCATTAAGATAAGATGGAACTTTATTTATCCCCTTAGGGACATTCAGGCATTTACAGCAGCAACCGGGTCAGAGTTAAAAACAGGATTCACACAAGGTAAACATAAAGAAAAATAGAATACACAATTAAAATAATACTTAGAAAAAAGATTTGAAATAAATAAATTACTTTGTCTTATTTTTGAAGCAAGTATAAAAGTTCACAAAACACTTTTAGTTGGTTTCATGTTTCTGTTTTAGTCAAATTCTGGAGCAGATTCATGTTTATTTTTGACGGATTTGGCACCGGGTCAAGTTGACTGAAATAAGATTTGGAGATGTTCAGTACAATGCATCGTATGTAAACGATGTATGAGAGAATAAGAAAACATTAATTCTAACGCAAACTACTGGAATGAATACACATGGAAGATGTTAATTAGTTACTTTAAGAAACCCCAAATTCAAAGTAAACACAAAATGCTGGACAGGATGCGGTGAGCAGAAACCATGCTCATATATTTTGGGCCATAACGAAAATAATTGTTATTTTTGTGACCAATGAAAATACCTGAGTATTAATACTGTATCCATTCTTTTATTTGTATTATTACTTTTATTATTATTTATTTCGGATTTGTCAACTGTTATGTAGTTAACGTATGTATCTAGATGTGTTTATTTTGTCATGCTGTGTGAATAATTTCTTAAAATGCAAATCATTGTTTAGAAATGAATAACTGTACAGTTGAATACAAACTGTATAATGTAAGGATGTAAAAATATAAATGTATAGATGTTGCAACTATACAGAGCTTTAGCAATACTCAGGGTTCACACACTTTTTCAATGACTTCTCCAGGACCTTTACCTAATTTTCCACGACCAAAAAAAAATTACCTTTCTCAGCGGTTCCACTGAAAATGGTTTATTTTAACATGGAACAGGAAAATAAGGTCTGCATATGAAACATGTTGTGCCTCTAAAACAAATCCAATAGGCTTGCTAGCTTCTACGCGCTAAAGCAACTCAAATCTCTCACCAGCAAAACACCTCGTCAGTTAAATGCCATTTTACGTTTTATTACGATACAGTATTTATTATCATTATAGTATTACTATTTTGGCGATTAGATAAAATATAAATTATATTTGATGCAACTTTAGTTACTTTTCCATGACTTTTCCAAAACTTTGGGAAAAATATTGTTTTCCAAGGCCTGGAATTAGCATTTTGAATTTCCATGACTTTTCCAGGTTTTTAATGACCGTAAGAACCCTGGATACTGTATGTAACTATGGTCATGCTAATAAAGATATTGAGTTGAATACAAGAACTTTGGAGAACTTTTTGAACATATCTGCAAGAGACACCAAACAAAAAATCAAAAGGACACACGGTACTAATAAGCTCTTAATTAAAAAAGGTCACCTATTATCCCCAAAAATTCACTTTTTAATGTATTGATTACATAAACATAGATATATGCGTCTCCCCTGTGTGTTAAGAGACTTAGAAAGTGTCAGTAAAAAAGGTTGTCTCTCTTTCCCTCCTGAACCAAGATGGTGAAATCTGCTCAGAAAACGGGCGAGTTTCGGTTCATACGTGACGGTTCAATATTTGTGGGTTGTACGGCATTATATAAAAATATAAATGTGGCGGATTTGTCAACTGTTATGAAGTTAACTTATGTATCTAGATGTGTTTATTTTGTTATGTATGCTTTGTGAATCATTTCTTAACCAGTGCCTGTTTTCCAGGCCTCAGGCTCGAAAAGGACATGCCCAGAACAAATGACCATATCTTCTAAAAGGGGAACATTAATAATCTTTTACTCAAAGCAATGATAAACCTGTGAGTTGGATGTAGAAAAGTCAGAATCAATATAGATGTTTTTATTTTAAAGTAAATTCAGATTGAACATAGTAAAAAAATGTAAATTATAGTGTCCGTCCAAAATAAACACTTTACTTATAGTGAAAACTAACCTTGAACGATGGGATCGGAGACTAAAAGCTGTAGGAATCCCAACTATAACATATAATAAGTACCCTGTATCAAGATTGATGCAAAACAAGTGAAATTTGACCTTTTTAGAGATTTAGAAGAAGAAAAAACACTTCTGGGGTCATTTGGGTGGATTTGACCTATCTCTGGCCCCCCTTGGTCGATTTTGATGATTGACACCTCTGTTGAACCGCTAGAGCCAATAGAATCGAGGGGAAGTTCCACAGACACACACACACGTTACCAAATAAGTGATTGAGAGTGACGCGTAGCCAGAAGACTGTCATACACTCTGGAAGCTATTATTAGCAGCTAATATGAAAACTCAGTTTTGACATAAAAATGGAGTCATGGATTATCAATATTTTTTTCACACATTGGATTAACGCTATTGACGCTATTGACGCTATTGACGCTATTGACGCTATTGACGCTATTGACGCTATTGACGCTATTGACGCTATTGACGCTATTGACGCTATTGACGCTATTGACGCTATTGAACACAACTTTTGATCAGAATAACAGCAAAAGGTGAGCATATCTTAACATGCAAATAAAAAACATAAATGAATGACTTGAATAAGAACTGTATAATGTAATGATATATACATATAAATATACGTACATGTCGCACCTGTTCGTTGCTGGTGGACGAAATGCTGGACTCGGCTTCATCAGTTCGCTCCAAACGATCCGTCTTTCCTCCACTTTCCTGCTTCTGGTTCTGCTGCTGTTGTTGTTGTTGTTGTTGTTGTTGTTGTTGTTGTTGTAGTAGTTGTTGCTGTTGCTGCTGTTGTTCTGTTTCCATGTTGGTTTCCTCCATCTTTGTTTTCCAGAAGCGTCCCTCTCTCACGAAGCGCTGGTGGTAATAATAATAATACATTTCATTTATATAGCACACTTTAAAAACAACGTCATCTAAAAAAGTTGCTATGAGGAGAAAATATCAAAATAGAAAGTTATCTAAGGAGAATATTGAATAATATCATTTTCCTTGTTCATGTGATGCGTTGTTGTTGTTGTTGTTTTGTTTCTTTCCGTTAACTGCCAAGTGGGAACTAAGTATCTTTTTGGAAGTTTTTGTGTTCCTCTTATTTTCCTGTGAATAAGAAAATATGAAGGACAGACTATTTCTATATATTTATTTTCTTTGAGAAAGCAGCAGGTAATAGAGCGGAGCATGGTATTTACCCTGAAGTAAGCTGCTGGTTCCCTCCACAAAAAAGCAACGGGATTTCTCCAGAGGATTTAGGAAAAGAGCTGGAAATAAGGTCTGTGGAAACCTGTTTGATGAATGCACGTTTTGTTCAGCCGGATCATCTCCTCATGTCTTCCCTACTTTCATAATGTTTGAATCATAAATCTAATCGAAGCTAAATGCTAACGTGATGCTATAAAGGAACTACAGCGAGTCCCGCAGCACGACTTCAACGTCACGCCAACTTCAGATCCAGATTCAAACACACAGATTCTAGAGGGAACGAGTTGAAGCGTTTGTTTGAACACTCTGCAGGAGGCAGGGACTTGCTTTCAAGCAGAACAGAAACTAACTTAGAGGAGTGTTCACGTGTTCGGCGTAATGACGTACAACGACCTCAACTTCTGTAGTCCTATTCAGCCACTTGGTAACAACCATCGTTTCTCAGACACGTCCACTCTTCAGAAATCACCAGCGGGGTCACTGCTGATGATTTAATGTCCTAGAACAAAACGTGACCCGTCTCTTCAATGCGTCTCAACCACAGACCTTATTTCAGCTATTCCAAAACCCTATGGAGAGATCCCATTGGCTCTGAGACGAGGGAACAGGAAGTGGAGAAATGCTGACTCACTTCCTGGTTTTAGGACTCGTCACTGCACCGCTCTATTGAGATGCTTATCCCTGCTCCGTTTTGATCAACGGTGTGTTTATAGAGGCATGTTTTGTAAATAATTGTTATACATTAAGTTGTGCATACCATGAATGGAACAAATCAAAATGAAATAAGGTAATTTAAAAGAGGTTAAAAGAATAAAAGGCCAACCTGGTAAACCTCCAGCTCTTCGCAGGCCTTCTTCCAGCCGCTGCTGCGCTTCACCTGCAGCTGCTGGACTTTCACCTTGATGTCCTGGATGTTGTCCGACGGGATCCACGCTCTGAGGACGACGGGGAAATAACGTTTTAAAGATTTACAAAACCTTCCAGCAAATGTTTGAATAATGTCAGTTTATTTGAAAAGTGTTTGGGTTTGTTTTGTCAGGCTGAACCGCTATTAGCACTCATTCCTACCTGTCCATTAAGCTTCTTAACATTCACATGAAATGAAATGTAGTCAAATGTAATGAAATGTACTTTTTAAATGTTGGCCCTGAGGGTCGTGCAATAGGTCGCCATTGTCTGTATGTGCGTCTGTGTATTGTGTTTGTTCAAACGGTGTATGACTGATGATATGTGTATGTCTCTTAATGTCCACTATGTTTGTATATGTACATGTATGCAGGACGGAGTCCAGAACACATGTCCTTACGGGGACAAGAAAGTATATCGTATCGGGATGTTTTTACAACTGGTTTAAGCAGCTTGAAGTTAAATAGCATCAAAAGAAATGTGTTAATTGATTTTTAAGGAAGATTTAACAATAATCAGAATACTTGATTTAATTGTAATGTTGTCCGACGGGATCCACGCTCTGAGGAGGAGGAGATCAAATAAAGTGGACGGGATTTATCAACAAGCACTGAAACTAGTTTGTTTGTTTCGGAACCTTTCAGAAGTGTTTCGGGAGGAATTGCATCTGATCTGAGATTAAGCAGCTTAAAGGAGATTTATTCATAGTATCAACAGTTGTGGCTTTAAGTGATCCAAGAACAGTTGATAAGGAAGTCATTCATAGCATTTGGGGAAGGATTCATAGAATACTGGGGAGAAACTAGGTTTTGTGATAAATAAAAAAAACACAATACAAATAATTATTTAAACAAAAGAATGTGCAATCAAAGCTAAAGATTAACATGTTTAGATGTTATATGACAATAGGAAGTAAATGTCCAATTAAATATAAAACAAAATTATTTATATGAGCATAAGAAGTTAAAAATGGAACGTGCTATAGCCAAATAAATCATAGGTACTTTTACGCAGTATTTTGATGGTGTACTACCAGTACCTTGCATTGTGTGCAACGCAAGGTGGGATGCATAATAATTCGATCTATAATCTTCATCCAGCTAAATATACTTCCATCATGGATAACGTTTTCATAAAAGACATCCATTGTTTGTTTGCACGCTTCTTGAAATCTCTACAACACATTGTTTCTCTAGAATGGATTACAAATGGCCTGAAAATGGTTCAAACACGTGAGATGGAGGTGTGGAGCTGAGGGATAACATGCAGTTGAAAGAGAAACTAAAACTCTCACTGTTGCGGAGATAATCTCGGGGTTAAGCAGCTTGTCCCGGTAAATATGTTCTAAGGACAATGTATCCAGATACAAATGGTGGCGATATGCTCTCAAATGAACAGAAAGGTGTTCCTGGTGTGCTAACCTCTGGTGCTGGTGTCCGAAGAAGCGAACGTCCACCTGGTTCTCTTCTCTCTGGAGGACTTTGGCCGGCCAGTATCCGAAACCCTTCATTTTGGCCCAAACCAGGTCATGGTTAGGACTCTGCAGAGGAAACACACAAAGAAACAGAAAACAGCAACGGTTAAAACCCAGCATTGTTGGTCTAACAAGAAAAACTCACGGTAAACAAAGTGGTGGGTTGGATTTTATGCCAAAATGACATTTAACATGGCGCAGTTTTTCATATTCATGAGTATGCAAGATATTTTGATTTTTTTTTTTAAATCACTCAGTTCTCTGTTCTATCCCCCAATTTGTTTTTAAAATCCAAAATCTTTTGTCAAAATCCCTGTTTTTTTGCTAAAACCATGAAAGGTCCCAGGTCATGGCCATTTCTACTGATCATAATTCCATCGTTGAGGTCTACTAGAATAGATTTACATTGTTCAATGTTCCAAACTCAGCATCTCTGTATAGTCTGTGTATTCACTCTCTGTCCTAAACGGCTTGTTGGAGCTCCTGCCCCCCCCCTCCCCCTCCCTATGAGCCCACTCTGTTCTGATGAGTCCACCACCGTCACAGCTGAACATCAGTGTTTATGTGTTACCATGGCGTTTGTTAGCAACCAGAAAATGACACCAGTAAGGACAAACAGATGAGAATGCTGCGTGCCGTGTTGGCGGGACGTTGTGGGGCTCGCTGCTGCGAGGAGCGGACAGTGTGAGCTGGATTACTGGTGTCGTTTCCTGGTTGCTGCGTGGGCACACACACACACACACACACACACACACACACACACACACACACACACACACACACACACACACACACACACACACACACACACACACACACACACACACACACACACACACACACACACACACACACACACACACACACACACACACACACACACACACACACACACACACACACCACACACCCACACACACACACACACACACACACACACACACACACACACACACACACACACACACACACACACACACACACACACACACACACACACACACACACACACACACACACACACACACACACACACACACACACACACACACACACACACCTCCGAGGGTGCACTTTGAGGGTTTGTGACTGCAGACCGTCTACATGCAGAAAACAAGGGGACGGGTGCTAACCGGAGACGCACGACATGGGCCCTTTACATGACTTATGTTACAAGGGTAACGCAGTCAGTGGGAGTGATGTTGAATGTTTTGGATTATTAAAGCATTTTTCAGTATTTTGTCGATTAGTTTGTTTAATCCTTTCTGGTTCAAAATTGTCCAAACGTTTTTGTCAAAAAGTCGGTTTCTGAGTTTTGTTGAAACAGTGAAAACCAATAATATAACTGCATCTTACGACTGCTACCAGTGATCATACTGCAGTAATAGAACACAATCAAACTGTGGGTGTGTTTTAAGAGCCATTTGGTCCAGAGAAGCTGTAGTTGTGTATGTTTGTTGTTGTTGTTGTTGTTGTTGTACTCACACAGGGGTAACAGAACCAGTTGTCTGGCCTTGCGTTGGAGAGGTAGAAACAGGTTTTACACAACAACAACTCGTTGAGCTGGAGGAGGAGAGACGGGGAGAGAGAGAGTTTAATGCAGGAACTAATTAGCAAGGAGACACGGTGCTAATAAGTTCTTAAACTAAATCTCGCTGCTGTTAAATGTAAGGAAAAGTAAACGGCGTTACCTCGTGGCATGTGTCGCTGAAAAGCAGCCGAGCGATTTCCGCCTGGTCGCTGTTAACTGAAACACAAACATAAGAGCACTTAGTGAGAAAGTCAAAGTGGAGTATTATACATTTAAATTGTTTTACATAAAAAGATATGGACAATTCTGCAGTATTTGCTATATTTCTGAATGCTTTGTGGTTCGTCTCGATTTCAACATCAGATCTATGTTAGTGGAGAAGGCCTAACGCTGAATAGTAAATGTGTGCCATGAAATAAAAGTTCAAATGTGGCTTTTCTGGTGAATACAAAAAATAATAGAAAAACTAAATGTGTAACTGAACGTAATGAATGATGGACCCACCTCCGTACAGGATGGCCGTGTTGTGGACGATCAGCTGAGCGTCGGCTTTGAACTCATCGAAGCTTTTATACTTTCCTTCAGACAGATTCTGAGAAACAGAAAGAGACACAATTTCACAGCTTCCTTCCTTCATTTCATTCAAGCCACTTCGACAACTTTTAAAAACAGACATTTCTAACACGTTATCTTTCAATGTATTAGTTTCTCGCTATTCTTTTCACACACAAATCAAAAGATAAACAAACTTAGATTATCTTTCTTTCTTTATGGAATATATCTTAAGCCTCTTCCATACATGGCTGTGTCTGTTGATAGGCTGGCACTGTGGGAATTGTAGTCTTTTATCGTCCCTTGACTACAGAAGTCACAACTAGGTGCAAATATTTGGCCTTTTCACAACAACAACAAAATAAGTGGCTGTAATTTATAACATTGGTTGTTCAATATTTCGATGGTGTACCACCTTGTATTGTGTGTTTTGTCAATAAAGTTTATTTGAATAATAAAAAAAATTAAAATGGAAAGAGAGAGAAAGTTCCACAGTCAGAGAGAACGAGTACAAAGTAGTTTATTCACTGTGTGTGTGTGTGTGTGTGTGTGTGTGTGTGTGTGTGAGTGTGTGTGCGAGCGTGTGTGTGAGCGTGTGTGAGTGTGTGTGTGAGTGCGTGTGTGAGTGTGTGTGTGAGCATGTCTGTGTGTGAGCATGTCTGTGTGTGAGTGTGTGTGTGTGTGTGTGAGCACGTGTGTGTGAGTGTGTGAGCGTGTGTGTGTGAGCATGTGTGTGTGAGCGTGTGTGTGTGTGAGTGCGTGCGTGAGTGCGTGAGTGCGTGCGTGTGCGTTTGGTGACCAGCAAGCGAGAGGTCCAGGAGAGGGTGTGTAATTATTAACACACATACACACACTTACACAAAAACACACTTACACACACAAGCATGGGCAGAGCTCCAGATTCTGGCAGAAAAAAAACCCTCAGTTGTTTTTGTTTTGTTACCTCGTGGATGTTGGAGACCTCCAGCGCGGTGTGGATCAAACGTTTGTACATGGGGTGTTTCGTGTCTTTGCCTTTCTTGGCTAGGTCGACTGCCTGCAGACGAAGAGGAGGAAGAGGAGGAGTAATGATTTAATACCAACGTTATAGAGAGGAAGAGGAAGAGTAATGAAGCAGGGACACATGGAGGATAACTGATGAGAGATTTTATAGCTTTTTTATAGGCAGCGTTGTGATGAAGGGAGATTTAACACAACTTTAATTGAGAGGAGGGAGAAGGGTGGGGTGAAGGGGAATATTTATTTTAATTAAGGGTGGAGTAAGGGCTTTTTGTGGGTACTAGTAACTTATTTTAGAGAACACAGCAAAAACAGAACCCAAAAAAGAGTAAAGAATAGGAACTTTAAAGGGGACCTATCATGCTATCATTGTAGGCAATAGCACAGGTCTCAGATATATACAAATATATAAAAACATGTCTTTGAAGTGTTTTGCTCAAAATACCAAACAGATCATTCTAGCCATGCCTCATATCCCTCTATTTCACTTCCTGTTTCAAAAGTGCTGATTCGGGGTATAAAGCTTTAAAAATAAAAAGGAGGGGTCTGAGCTCATGCGGGACCCGGCAGCTACTGTCTAAACTAAATGCTGCCGTGATGAAACGCCATATCATGGATTATCAAGGATTCTCTCTGAAACAGTATGGAGCTCAAAGGCTTTCTCTCTTGCCGGTTATACCACAAGGTGAGTTCCTTTTTACTTCCTGCTTCTTCACACACATGCTCTCCAGTACAGGTTAGCTCTGAGTGTTAGCGATGCTAATGTAAACACCGACCATATTACGTCCAAAACGGTCGGGCATTGTTTCTGATAGCAACGTTTCTGATTGGGCCGTGGCTCCACATTTCAGATATTACGTCATATCGGACGCAAATCTGGATCAGCTCCGTTGTTCCCCATTTTTAGAGATTTGGGTACGGAGGAAAAGAGAGAGGGTTTTATTTTCTGACGCTGCGTGAGTTCCCCGACGCACCGGGACACATAGTTATGTATACAAGACATCACAAAGTGCATTTTGCATGATGGGTCCCCTTTAAGTCAAATTAACCAGAAGAAAGTGATGTTTTCTGCTTTCAAAATCAAATTGAAATGGAATGAAATAGCCCAAAAAAATCTTCAATATTTAAATTAATAAAAAGGTTGAACTAACATGATAGAAGTGAGTGAGGATTACGGCTTGTAGAAACAGAATCAAATTGAACAAAAAGTATTTATTATTTAACGAAGTGACGAAAAAAATTAGGAAATAAATAAATGTACAAAAAAATTGTTTTTAAAGAAAAACTACATTTTTTTTTTTTTTTTTTAAATTCTAAATGTTTGTTTTAGCCTCTTTTAGTTCAGCTTCTAACAGCTGTTATTACACTAAGTAAACAAACGGCTGGTGACTTTTATTAAAAGCAGGTACTTAATAAAGCAAGGTGTTATCACTGCAGGGAATCTCTGGCTTTTATGCAACGGGGACATTTTATTTTGATGAAGCATTCAAATCAGCTTTTTCTTGGTCCTTATGTCCAAGAAGGTACTTTGAGTCAAATCAAACACAGCAAAATAAACCTGGCAGAAAAGATCCCTCAATCTTCTTAAATAACGTTTGAATCAGAGCCGTAGATCTGCTGGATTTGTTGAAGTAGAACAGCAGCAATGAATGTGTTGTTCTCACCCTCTCCTTCATGCGCTGCACGATGAAGCGCAGGTATTTACTCATCTCCTGTTTGTTCAGGTTCTTCTTTTTACTGCCCTGCAGGACGACAAGAGGAAAGGTGAGATTCAACACAACGAAAACACGGAAACTTAAAAATAGGGATGCACCAATTCAGAGAGCGACATGCAGTCTAACGAGTTTTCTTTTCAGACAGCCGCAGTCAGATGTTGGAAAAGCAATAATCTCCGTGAACTACAAAAAGCATTTCTCATTTGATGCATCCTGGTGAGGTAGCATATATATAACGGACATACAGTTGCAAGAACAAGTATGTGAACCCTTTGGATTCTCCACACATAGCGTTGTGTGTTCCTTCCAAACAACTCAACTTTGGTTTCATCTGTCCACAGAACATCCAGGTGCTCTTTTGCAAACTTCAAAACGTGCAGCAATGTTTTTTTCTGGACAGCAGTGGCTTCCTCCGTGGTGTCCTCCGTGGCTTCCTCCGTGGTGTCCTCCGTGGCTTCCTCCGTGGTGTCCTCCCATGAACTCCATTCAGTGTTTTACGTATCGTAGATTCGTCAACAGAGATGTTAGCATGTGCCAGAGATTTCTTTAAGTCTCTAGCTGACACTCTAGGATTCTTCTTCACCTCATTGAGCATCCTGCGCTGTGCTCTTGAGTCATCTTTACAGGACGGCCACTCCTAGGGAGAGTAGCAACAGTGCTGCACTTTCTCCATGTATAGACAATGTGTCTGGACTGATGAACATCAAGGCTTTGAGAGATAGTTTTGTAACCAGCTTTATGCAAGTCAACAATTCTGAATGGTAGGTCTTCTGAGAGCTCTTCTGTGCGAGGCATGGTTCACATCTGGCAATGCTTCTTAAGAATAGCTCATTCAAAACTGGTGTGTATTTTTTATAGGGCAGCTTTAACCAACACCTCCAATCTTGTCTCATTGATTGGACTCCTGACTCCAATTAGCTCTTGAAGAAGTCTTTAGCCTAGGGGTTCACATACTTGTTCCACTGTGAATGTTTACATGGTGTGTTCAATAAAAACATGAAAATATATCATTGTTTGTGTGGTATTAGTTTAAGCAGACTGTGTTTATCTATTGTTGTGACTCAGATGAAGATCAGAACACATTTTATGACCAACTTATGCAGAAATCCAGGTCATTCCAAAGGGTTCACATACTTTTTCTTGCAACTGTATGTAATGTGCAAAAAGAGACAGGAAGTTAAGAGGAACAAGGAAGGAAATAGACAAATACAGTTACATGAAAAGCAGATTTGAAATACTGAATGATAGCTTTCTGTATTAGGAATATCTGATAGCATTACACTTAGTGATTAGTTTAAACCAGATATATTGACACCACTATTACACATAGCCTGTGTTTGAAGCAAATGCAAGTAATTTAAGTAATTTTAAGTACAAATCTCTGCATGGGTGTGAGAGAACGGAGAGAAATGTAGAACATTCTGCAAGATTTGGAAGCAGAAAGCAGACTTTGTAATGCTTATATGTGAAGAATTATCCAGTGTCTAATGGTAAAAAGACAAAGCATTATTGCCGTGGCAGCAGAGAAGATAACAAAGTTAGCTTCTGACTTGTAGAAGCACAATTTATATCCAAAACAACTTGGTATGACTAAGAACAAAATGCGGAAAGCTAGGAATATCACTTGTTAGTTTAAATGATGCCTAAACATCTGACACTCATTCATTTCATTCCTCTGACGTAATCAAGTATTTCCTTTCTTGAAATAAACCTAATTTGTCACTCAAAACGTCTTGTACCAATCATCGTTTGACTGTGAACACGTATAGCTCTCCTGTTGTGAAATACCATACTTACCGGCTTTCTACTTCTTACATGTTGAACCCAAATACCTGTACTTTCTACTTCTTACATGTTGAACCCAAATACCTGTACTTTCTACTTCTTACATGTTGAACCCAAATACCTGTACTTTCTACTTCTCACATGTTGAACTCAAATACCTGTACTTTCTACTTCTTACATGTTGAACCCAAATACCTGTACTTTCTACTTCTTACATGTTGAACCAAATCCCTGTACTTTCTACTTCTTACATGTTGAACACAAATACCTGTACTTTCCTACTTCTTACATGTTGAACTCAAATACCTGTACTTCTACTTCTCACATGTTGAACACAAATACCTGTACTTTCTACTTTCTCACATGTTGAACTCAAATACCTGTACTTTTCTACTTCTTACATGTTGAACTCAAATACCTGTACTTTCTACTTCTCACATGTTGAACACAAATACCTGTACTTTCTACTTCTTACATGTTGAACTCAAATACCTGTACTTTCTACTTCTTACATGTTGAACTCAAATACCTGTACTTTCTCTTCTCACATGTTGAACACAAATACCTGTACTTTCTACTTCTTACATGTTGAACACAAATACCTGTACTTTCTACTTCTCACATGTTGAACCCAAATACCAGTACTTTCTACTTCTTACATGTTGAACACAAATACCTGTACTTTCTACTTCTTACATGTTGAACTCAAATACCTGTACTTTCTACTTCTTACATGTTGAACACAAATACCTGTACTTTCTACTTCTTACATGTTGAACACAAATACCTGTACTTTCTACTTCTTACATGTTGAACACAAATACCTGTACTTTCTACTTCTTACATGTTGAACTCAAATACCTGTACTTTCTACTTCTTACATGTTGAACCCAAATACCTGTACTTTCTACTTCTTACATGTTGAACACAAATACGTGTACTTTCTACTTCTCACATGTTGAACCCAAATACCTGTACTTTCTACTTCTTACATGTTGAACACAAATACCTGTACTTTCTACTTCTTACATGTTGAACCCAAATACCTGGACTTTCTACTTCTTATATGTTGAACTCAAATACCTGTACTTTCTACTTCTTATATGTTGAACCCAAATACCTGTACTTTCTACTTCTTACATGTTGAACTCAAATACCTGTACTTTCTACTTCTTACATGTTGAACACAAATACCTGTACTTTCTACTTCTTACATGTTGAACCCAAATACCTGTACTTTCTACTTCTTACATGTTGAACTCAAATACCTGTACTTTCTACTTCTTACATGTTGAAATCAAATACCTGTACTTTCTACTTCTCACATGTTGAACCCAAATACCTGTACTTTCTACTTCTTACATGTTGAACCCAAATACCTGTACTTTCTACTTCTTACATGTTGAACACAAATACCTGTACTTTCTACTTCTTACATGTTGAACCCAAATACCTGTACTTTCTACTTCTTACATGTTGAACCCAAATACCTGTACTTTCTACTTCTTACATGTTGAACACAAATACCTGTACTTTCTACTTCTTACATGTTGAACCCAAATACCTGTACTTTCTACTTCTTACATGTTGAACACAAATACCTGTACTTTCTACTTCTTACATGTTGAACTCAAATACATGTACTTTCTACTTCTTACATGTTGAACACAAATACCTGTACTTTCTACTTCTTACATGTTGAACACAAATACCTGTACTTTCTACTTCTTACATGTTGAACACAAATACCTACTTTCTACTTCTTACATGTTGAACACAAATACCTGTACTTTCTAGTTCTTACATGTTGAACACAAATACCTGTACTTTCTACTTCTTACATGTTGAACACAAATACCTGTACTTTCTACTTCTTACATGTTGAACACAAATACCTGTACTTTCTACTTCTTACATGTTGAACTCAAATACCTGTACTTTCTACTTCTTACATGTTGAACTCAAATACCTGTACTTTCTACTTCTTACATGTTGAACTCAAATACCTGTACTTTCTACTTCTTACATGTTGAACACAAATACCTGTACTTTCTACTTCTTACATGTTGAACTCAAATACCTGTACTTTCTACTTTTTACATGTTGACCCAAATACCTGTACTTTCTACTTCTTACATGTTGAACACAAATACCTGTACTTTCTACTTCTCACATGTTGAACACAAATACCTGTACTTTCTACTTCTTACATGTTGAACCCAAATACCTGTACTTTCTACTTCTCACATGTTGAACACAAATACCTGTACTTTCTACTTCTTACATGTTGAACTCAAATACCTGTACTTTCTACTTCTTACATGTTGAACCCAAATACCTGTACTTTCTACTTCTTACATGTTGAACACAAATACCTGTACTTTCTACTTCTCACATGTTGAACCCAAATACCTGTACTTTCTACTTCTTACATGTTGAACTCAAATACCTGTACTTTCTACTTCTTACATTTTGAACACAAATACCTGTACTTTCTAGTTCTTACATGTTGAACACAAATACCTGTACTTTCTACTTCTTACATGTTGAACTCAAATACCTGTACTTTCTTCTTACATTTTGAACACAACTTACATTTTGAACACAAATACCTGTACTTTCTAGTTCTTACATGTTGAACACAAATACCTGTACTTTGTACTTCTTACATGTTGAACACAAATACCTACTTTCTACTTCTTACATTTTGAACACAAATACCTGTACTTTCTAGTTCTTACATGTTGAACACAAATACCTGTACTTTCTACTTCTTACATGTTGAACACAAATACCTGTACTTTCTACTTCTTACATGTTGAACACAAATACCTGTACTTTCTACTTCTTACATGTTGAAACCAAATACCTGTACTTTCTACATGTTGAACTCAAATACCTGTACTTTCTACTTCTTACATGTTGAACTCAAATACCTGTACTTTCTACTTCTTACATGTTGAACTCAAATACCTGTACTTTCTACTTCTTACATGTTGAACACAAATACCTGTACTTTCTACTTCTTACATGTTGAACCCAAATACCTGTACTTTCTACTTCTTACATGTTGAACCCAAATACCTGTACTTTCTACTTCTCACATGTTGAACACAAATACCTGTACTTTCTACTTCTTACATGTTGAACTCAAATACCTGTACTTTCTACTTCTTACATGTTGAACTCAAATACCTGTACTTTCTACTTCTCACATGTTGAACCCAAATACCTGTACTTTCTACTTCTCACATGTTGAACCCAAATACCTGTACTTTCTACTTCTCACATGTTGAACACAAATACCTGTACTTTCTACTTCTTACATGTTGAACACAAATACCTGTACCTTCTACTTCTTACATGTTGAACCCAAATACCTGTACTTTCTACTTCTTACATGTTGAACTCAAATACCTGTACTTTCTACTTCTTACATGTTGAACTCAAATACCTGTACTTTCTACTTCTTACATGTTGAACTCAAATACCTGTACTTTCTACTTCTTACATGTTGAACACAAATACCTGTACTTTCTACTTCTCACATGTTGAACTCAAATACCTGTACTTTCTACTTCTTATATGTTGAACTCAAATACTTGTACTTTCTACTTCTCTCATTTCCCAAACAGCTGGTTCCTTTAGTCTGAATGTGTGTTTGATGCGTGATCATTATTCTTTAGAGTCATTGCGTGCCTATTGATTTGAACACGATCCGTGTATCCATCATTTCCTGGTCTTCTCTAAAGAAGAGGGACCAATGGAAACGTTGTCATGTTGCCGTTGTTCAGCATGGAAACATTCATTAGCTAACAATGACATTATTGTTCTATTAATATAAAGGGAGGTCAGGTACTCTTTAAAACAGCTGCTAGTTATGGGTACTTTTTACTGAAGTACATTTCAAAGCCTCTTTACTTTCACTTGAGTAAAGAAGTTTAGTCAGTACTTCTACTTTTACCAGAGTATTTTTAAACACGAGTATCTCTACTTCTACTTGAGTACAGGATGTGTGTACTTTTGCCCTCTCTGCTTAATGCACCTGAATCTCCCTCCAGATATAATTAAACATCTATTGTATCTTATCTAATTCCCCCCTGTGTGAGTACCCACCCTGCAGGCGCCACACTGCCAGTGCGAGCCTCCGTCTTTGGGCTTGAACTCGTCCGGCAGACACTTGAGATGGTAGACTCTGAAGCAGTTGTCACACTCGAGCACGTCTCCCGGGAGGTGGCACTCGAAGCAGTACCAGTCGTGGCTCTCTGCCTCCCATTCCTGCTGAGGAGACACAGCAGAGAAACATCTGGTGACCCCTTCCCCCCACTCCGACCTCAGACACAGCAGGGGGGGGGGGGGGACGACGCCGACAAGACCTTAAAGTCCTCCATCTTTAACAGAAACTAGATGTTGAGAATTGTACTCAGGGTGTCGGGGGTTTGATGTTGGATCCCACGCCTCTAAACTCATCTGGAAACAAAGTCTATATGGCCTGCACTCCCAAGATTCAAAACTAAAGTGAGAACAGAACTAGGTAAACAAGCTTTTAAATATGCTGCCCCTTCTGCTTGGAATAATGTACAGAAGGAGCTGAAACTCTCAGATTTGATCAAGTCCATCTTAAAGGACAGAGAACAAGAAACCATTGGTCGATGTGATTGCTCTTATATCCCCTAATTCAAGTCGTTTTAAAATGGTGCTTGTTTTAAATGTTTTATAACAGTGCATTGTATTTGCCTATTGACTGGTTAGTCATTAGTGTTTTACAGCTGTATGTATTGTGTTCATTTGTTGTAACTTTGTTCATGCTGCCCTCTTGGCCAGGTCGTTCTTTAAAGAAGAGAGACCTTAATCTCAATGAGGCTTTTACCTGGTTGAATAAAGGATATATATGGATGCATTTGATTGAAATTGTTCTTAATTTGCCTGCATTTTTTTATTTGTTTTGACCAAAAAAACCAGATTTCCTCTGATTAATAAGATTGTGTTTGAAGTACCAGGTTAAATTAAAGGAGATAAGTTCAAAAAGACCCTCGAGACACAGCAGAGGGGAAGACAAGACCTTAAAGTCCTCTATCTTTAAGGGAAACTACATCTGAGGCGAACAGGTTTTAGGAGGATTGGACTCTGGGTGTCGGGGGGTTTCAGGTTCGTTCAAAAGCTCTATAATTAACAGCTTCACTCGAGAAATGATCTGGATGAGTTTGATTCAATTGTTCTTAATTCGTCCGCATTTTTAAGATCGTGTTTGAAGTACCAGGTTAAATCAAAAGGTGAAAAGTCTCCGAGATGAACTGAGGATTGTAAACTTCTTAGCACTCCTTGTTTTTTGTATTTTTCTTTCTGCCCCTCGATGTGAATGTGGAAGTGAACTTAGAGTAATATAGTATTTAATAAACGGTGGTGGTTTTGGTGGAGCACACCATGAAAGTGGGGGTGAAACAAAAGGCCAAATCGTTTCTGTTCCGAGCTGCTAAGAAGTAAAGGATCTTCTGTTCTGCTTTTCTAAATCATTGTAAATATATCTAACCCAAGCCGTGTTCAGATGCAACCAGCAGCTTTGGGAATTTGTGACTTTCTGGCCAATCAAATACTTAATTACTCAAATTCCCGTCATCATGGTCAGATTAAACCCACTCAAACCAGTCCATGTGAAGTGAAACCGCTGAACTTTAAAGGGGTAACTTAACTGTGCAGATCCATCCACAGATTCCTGAAAAGGTGCATCTACTTTTTGGAGCGTAACAGCCTCTTCTCACCCACACAAACACTTGACAAAATAGAAAATGGAGCTCGTGTTCTGTCCAATGTCAAGAGTCACTTCACTAAGACTTCAAAAAGGCTGCAGCTCTCTGAGCCAAGCACAGAAGAAGTGGAGAGAATTGGGACCCAAGCCAAAAACAGATATTACAGATGTTTGAAACAATAACAAAACATATGAATGTCTTCCAAAAGGGTTCCACCAAAGCACCATGTGAAGAAATCTGATGAAAAAGGCAGAACATTAGGGGTGCATGATTTGGAAAAAATAACTATTTGCAATTATTTTGACCAATTTTCAGTTACGATATGGGATGGATTGATTATTTATGTATCATTATCATTGGAGGAATATATTAAAATGGTGCAATTTTGACGATGTGTACCAAATAAATGTCAGTGTTGTTAAGTGTTATGATTGGCGGGGATATCTCTGCAGCTTACAAATGATAATAATATTGCACTAGTTCATACATTTCAGCTAATTGTGCAGCCCATTTTAAAACAAAAGCAGATATACTGTAGGAATGTCTGCTAAGACGCTGCAAATGTAAGATATTCTGGTCAAATCGGGTTGAACCAAAGCCCAAACCAGTAAAATCAGGCAGCCAAAAACTCTGCCTTTGGGTTCAAATCTCTTCTCCAAACATCTGTGAAATACCTCAGTGCTTTTTGGCGGGACAAATGGGGCTAAAAGCGGCTTGGACTTCCTGCTCTGGTTAATAAATTTGAATTTTCTAAATACCTGCACAAAAACAACCCAGAGATTCATCTCCCGTCTCTTTTAGAGGTAAACTGCATTGCTTCAAAATGACAGCAACTCGTACCCTATCAAACTTTGCAATAACAACAATACTTGAGCGATATAACCTGTGCAATTACTCAACTGTGCAATGTTCTTTTTAATTGGATTATGACTGTATGACACTGCATCTAGATTTATTATTATATATATCTCTTTATTCTTAAATGGGGCATCAGGCGAAAAAGCCCAACTTCCTCCCAGGGTAAATAAAGTCTTCTGATCCTAAAGTTTATATCCAACTTCCCCAAAAATTTAAATAAATCAAAGATAAATCATTCATTTTTTAGAAGCTTGTAAAGCACTCCGAGAAGTACAAAACAGGGTGTTAAGATGAGAACTGCATTGGTACAAGGAAATTAAATCAAATAATGTGCATTTTGGCTTTTTTTTGTACAGTTTAATATTGTTTAAAGTCAAAGTGCATCAACACATCACATCATGCTTTACAAGTGAGCACATTCATGTTAGTTTAACTCATGAAGATATAACATTCCTTCTTTAAAAAGGCAAAGGTAGGTTAAAAAGTGAGTTTATTTAGGGAAAACCTGGTTTAATCCAGTCTGAATTGAAGCAAGAGAGCATTAAAAACATTAGTTTTTTGAAGACTGAGCTATTTTAAGTGTTATGATTGGTGTTTAAGCTCCGTTATTATCTGCTTGAGGACAAAAATGATTCCTAAAAGGTCATCATGAGGACACAGTGCATGCCAGCTGGGTTTTCTCCAGGCAGCTGTCTCCATGTAGCAGCTGTTTAACTTCTTATATTTAAACTCTGTCCACTAAGTGACCGTTAACTAAACCCATCGCTGTCAGATTCAGTTCTAGCAGCAGGCATGGAAACATCACCACCACACAAACACACATCCTTCCCCCGACTCCTGTTGCATCGATTAAAAATAAAGAAATAAAAGAAACACGCATGCAAGACAGAAGAAGATCACGGTTAACACACCCCCCCCTGAGGAGAAACACTACCACACAGATGCTTGCTACCAACCTGCAGCTATGCTTACATTGCTTGTTGTGATCTCATTAACAATTTGGTGTTCAAGGTGAATTTACACTTGATATTTGACTCTGGTCGGCACCGTTTGAATGCCAAGGACTATGGAAAGCTTTGAGCTGCGCCTAGTGAGTGTCTCCATTTTTTTAAATCAAGCAAAAGCACATCTATAGATAAGTAGCGAGCACACATTTCATCAAGATCAAAGAGCACTTCTACAAGACATTTGGCTACAGAGCTGCATTGGACTTTCATGAAGCTTTTCACAGCAGAATCAAAAAAGGACAGCAGGTAGCTTCTGGCAGTGTGTTTAATATAATAAAATGGTGCAGTGAGTCAACCAGGAAGTTAGCATCGCAAGGGCTCCTTAGCGTAAAGCCAAGGGGATTGATTCATTGGATCTTTGGCTGACGCATGTTTAGGATACTTACAGGTTTTGTTCAGCAGGATCAACTTTCACACAAATGTTCTGAATTTGAAGCGTAAATGCAATCTCCAATTGCTAATGTTGGGCTATAAAAGAACTACAGCACGGTCACATGACTTCACGTCTCCACCGCTAAGCTAAAGGTGGCTAATGTTGGGCTATAAAAGAACTACAGCACGGTCACATGACTTCACGTCACCACGCTAAGCTAAAGGAGGCTAATGTTGAGCTATAAAGGAACTACAGCACGGTCACATGACTTCACGTCACCACGCTAAGCTAAAGGCGGCTAATGTTGGGCTATAAAGGAACTACAGCACGGTCACATGACTTCACGTCTCCACCGCTAAGCTAAAGGTGGCTAATGTTGGGCTATAAAGGAACTACAGCACGGTCACATGACTTCACGTCACCACGCTAAGCTAAAGGTGGCTAATGTTGGGCTATAAAAGAACTACAGCACGGTCACATGACTTCACGTCACCACGCTAAGCTAAAGGTGGCTAATGTTGGGCTATAAAAGAACTACAGCACGGTCACATGACTTCACGTCACCACGCTAAGCTAAAGGTGGCTAATGTTGGGTGTGATGATGTTTTAGTCGTCTCATTTAGACACATGTTAACCATAAAATACATCACTAAATTCACCAGTTGGGTATTTAGTGACGTATTTTATGTCGTAGAATACAAATCTCTTCAGCTTGTGTTAACCACAGACCTTATTTTCTAACAAAAATCATGATGTAAAAACTGTTGAGACACGGGCCCCGAAGCTGTAAAACTGCTGACTCATTCCTTGGTTGAAGGACTCATTCCTGCACCACTCTTTAGGCTGTAGGCAATTCAGATTGTGTTATAATTTGGTTTAAAGGTGCATCTCACAGGCTCACTCACAAACAGTGCAAGAATACTTTATAATTATATTTGAACACAGCCTTCAGCACTGACCAGAACAAACTGCCGTCTCAATTCTTTTGCAGCCGGCACGGAAAAGATTCACTCAAATCCCAGCCTGGCTGCATGTGGCGATTTCTCACAGCTTGATGTTAGTTGGGGGGGGGGGTTTGATAATAAATATTCAGCCCTTACCTTGTTTCCCTCTGCTTCCGGCTCCTGTGATTGCAAGAGATTCAGAGAGTAGTGTTTATAAGTCCGGCTGCTAAAACAAAACACCTTGATCTCCGCTGGACATTGGAGTCATGTTGTGTTTTTCTATCATATCAATTACTTCTGTTGACACTACAGCCATTCCATTCCCCAATCATCGTGTAATCGTGACACCTTGGATGCAAAGGTTTCATCTAGAAAATGTCAATAACACTGACTTTTTGTGTATAAGCATTTATCACATTAAAACTAAGAGTCCTTTCAGTTATTTCCTGCTTGATATGTCTTTCCTTTGAATCACAGATGATGCGCTTGTTTAAATATTTCGTGGTGAGACATCAACATTACTGGTATTTCATTCCTAAATCTTACATATTGTGTCCCATTACTATTCTCTGGCTTGTAATCCCAACACCTTGGATGCTGGATTGGTATTTTCTTGGTAACTACTCAATTTTAAAACAAATACAATAATCCTAGTTTCAAATAACTCAAATCACAACAGCTGTTTCTGACTTTCCTGCACTTGGATGCTTGTAGTTTTAAAGCATGACAGATACTGCGAGCATCCTCTTGCAAAAAGCACTGGGATTAAAGCATCCACCAGATACACAACGTTAAAGCCACAGTAATCCATTAAGTGCTCTTTGCGTAACACATGGTGGATTCTCCCCAGGTAGTGCTGCTCTGAAACCACTGACACATAAGAGCATCTCTAGCAGTGAACTAGCAGGGGAAATAAGACGGAATTACAGCAGGGCGTTCACATGAGAAGAATCAAAAAAGTTAATATCACATCTCTCACAGAGGAGGGATGCTCGAGCACACAAGCAGGGAACTAAAGAGTCCTCATCTTAATCATTCTTGATCTCTCTCTGTGTGTGGTGTGTGGTGTGTGTGTGTGTGTGGTGTGTGTGTGTGTGTGTGTGTGTGTGTGTGTGTGTGTGTGTGTGTGTGTGTGTGTGTGTGTGTGTGTGTGTGTGTGTGTGTGTGTGTGTGTGTGTGTGTGTGTGTGTGTGTGTGTGTGTGTGTGTGTGTGTGTGTGTGTGTGTGTGTGTGTTGTTTAACACTGTGTTCACACTGCGAGCAACTCGACAGATGGACGGCTTCGTGACATAATCTGTGAGCTCGTCTCAAATATGGAACTTGATGCAAATGACTGAAACTGTGTAAACTAAAAGGACTAGTTTCTCGTTATTAGCAGAGAGAGAGAGTCTGTTTATTATCAGGACATTAGGGGCTTTTTCATTCATTAATATCGCTTTCTTCTCGTCATGCATCTCAGTTTATAAAGACATTAATAAAGGGAAGCAGTATTTTGGAAGTGAACTATCAAAAAACGTAAGCTATTAATAAAAACTGACATCCGATTGATTAAGTGACATAAGCAGCTATTCTACAAGACTTTTAGTATAATTGCAATCATTAAAGGAGCCGTCTACAATTAGTCAATTAACCAATTAGTCGATCAAGTAATTTTAAAGCAGAAATGTCTAACTTTCTCCGTGGGATATCAGAAGTTTCTCTCATATTAAATGACTAGTTTTTAGTACCTTTCTGGTTTAAAAGAATCTCATCGAGTTTAGGAAACTGTTAGAGGCATTTTTCAGTGACGTTTTATTATGCAAAAGTATTAGATAATTCAAGACGATACAAAGCAGACGAGCCTCAACTGTTACTGTCTATTTTAACAGTTGAGCTTTGATTGGCTAGAATGATATTTCTGGTTTTGAAAGCTTCTACTGCATCTTACAACTAAAGCCCATCAATTGGAAAACAATTAAGAAGACCAGTAAAAGCTAACAGTTGTTCATATTCAGCAGGAAATGTTGGACTTCCAGTGATTTCTCCAAAGTGTTGCTCACAGTGTGAACACAGACACACACCAAGTAAATATCAGACATACAAATTGTGAATCTGATCTTTTTGGGGATCAGTAACACATACTCGAGAAATGATTCCCTGTTCAGTCTGCTTTAGTGAATGTTACTTTGATTGTTGTGCTTTTATGCATGTCTTAATGTGTGCATGTGTATAAATGTGTCTGTTGATTGTGTATATTAGTGTTGCACGGTGTACCGATACTTGAAAGGTACCGCGATACCCTGCCGTTAAAAACGGTACGATTCCTCCGTTTCATTAGTATCGGTACTTTAAGAATGACGGGGGAAAGTACTCCGGTGAGAAAGCGCCGTTTTAATAAGAGCCGTGTGTGTTCAGCGCTCTGCTTCCACTCCCTGCACTGCAGCCGTGCCTGCAGTCCCGCCCCTCTCAAGCACGCTCTAAGTCCCTCCCCTCTCAAGCACGCTCTAAGTCCCCCCCTCTCAAGCACGCTCTAAGTCCTCCCCTCTCAAGCACGCTCTAAGTCCCTCCCTCTCAAGCACGCTCTAAGTCCCTCCCCTCTCGTGCACGCTCTAAGTCCCTCCCTCTCGTGCACGCTCTAAGTCCCTCCCCTCTCAAGCACGCTCTAAGTCCCTCCCTCTCTCGCACGCTCTAAGTCCCTCCCCTCTCTCGTGCACGCTCTAAGTCCCTCCCCTCTCAAGCACGCTCTAAGTCCCTCCCCTCTCTCGTGCACGCTCTAAGTCCCTCCCCTCTCTCGTGCACGCTCTAAGTCCCTCCCCTCTCAAGCACGCTCTAAGTCCCTCCCCTCTCTCGTGCACGCTCTAAGTCCCTCCCCTCTCAAGCACGCTCTAAGTCCCTCCCCTCTCAAGCACGCTCTAAGTCCCTCCCCTCTCAAGCACGCTCTAAGTCCCTCCCCTCTCTCGTGCACGCTCTAAGTCCCTCCCCTCTCTCGTGCACGCTCTAAGTCCCTCCCCTCTCAAGCACGCTCTAAGTCCCTCCCCTCTCTCGTGCACGCTCTAAGTCCCTCCCCTCTCAAGCACGCTCTAAGTGCCTCCCCTCTCTCGTGCACGCTCTGGCTGCCAGAGCATGTGAGAAAGCGAGAAGCACGGCTGCAAGTGGGAGTGCAGCTGCCGCTGGGCCTCGGCTTGTTGACAACAAAGACGCCAGAAGCGAAGTATTTGAGCGATATCTCTGACAGTGAGGGCAAGCCTACGGACACCACGAGGCCTGTCTGTAGGCATTTATTAATTTAGTTTAATACGAATTATTGTCATTTATTTTATTTATTGTTCTCATTGTTTAAAAGTGTGTGTTCTGGTTCTGGTGTGAAATAAAGCACAATAATTACATTTAAGACTGTTTCCCTTTTTTTAAGAAAAGTATCGAAAAATAATCGGAATCGCAATTCTTGACTTGGTATCGGTATCGAAACTAAAATGTTGGTATCGTGACAACACTAGTGTATATATATATTTGGATTGTGGGAACAGTATTTCGACCTGTCTGTACACACAAACTGAAAGATTGACGATGACTTTGACTTTTGAGGAAAAACACCAAACGTTGTGTAGTTCCTGCTTCTTAAATGTTGAGTTCTAATGCTTTTCAGTGTATTCGTAAATGTATTTGTCGTGGGTTTGGGAGTATTGGTTGTATAAAACCAGCAGTCTGAAACCCAATGAAGGTGTTTTCCATAGTTGAGCTCACCATCTCGTCCCCGGGCAGCCAGTATCCCTCCTGCTCGATGCCGGCCTTCGATCCTTTGTATCCGACGGTCAGCGTCTCCACCACCAGCCCGTCCTTCACCGCCAGGCTCAGCTGCCGCGCCGTCTCCTTCGGGTGCATCCCGAACATCCGGCTCAGGTACCTGGACGGCAGGTGAGGAGGAGGATTTGAGTTTTGTGCAAACAGTTAATACATTATTTTAATGGTTACAAAATATGCTTTAAAGTTTACATCATTGAAACCAGGGCGGCACAATATTAAACCATTTGGTCTACTGCATTTTATGTCTTTTACTTTTATCAGCAGGAGAGGACTCTTTAAAGTAGAGACACTACATACTGATATACACCTGAATATCAGCAAGAGAGGACTCTTTAAAGTAGAGACACTACATGCTGATATACACCTGAATATCAGCAAGAGAGGACTCTTTAAAGTAGAGACACTACATGCTGATATACACCTGAACATCAGCAGCAGAGGACTCTTTAAAATAGAGACACTACATACTGATATACAACTGAATATCAGCAGGAGAGGACTCTTTAAAGTAGAGACACTACATACTGATATACACCTGAACATCAGCAGGAGAGGACTCTTTAAAGTAGAGACACTACATACTGATATACACCTGAACATCAGCAGGAGAGGACTCTTTAAAGTAGAGACACTACATACTGATATACACCTGAACATCAGCAGGAGAGGACTCTTTAAAGTAGAGACACTACATACTGATACCTGAACATCAGCAGGAGAGGACTCTTTAAAGTAGAGACACTACATACTGATATACACCTGAACATCAGCAGGAGAGGACTCTTTAAAGTAGAGACACTACATACTGATACCTGAACATCAGCAGGAGAGGACTCTTTAAAGTAGAGACACTACATGCTGATATACACCTGAACATCAGCAGGAAAGGACTCTTTAAAGTAGAGACACTACATACTGATATACACCTGAACATCAGCAGGAGAGGACTCTTTAAAGTAGAGACACTACATGCTGATATACACCTGAACATCAGCAGGAGAGGACTCTTTAAAGTAGAGACACTACATACTGATATACACCTGAACATCAGCAGCAGAGGACTCTTTAAAGTAGAGACGCTACATACTGATATACACCTGAACATCAGCAGGAGAGCACTCTTTAAAGTAGAGACACTACATACTGATATACACCTGAACATCAACAGCAGAGGACTCTTTAAAGTAGAGACGCTACATACTGATATACACCTGAACATTAGCAGGAGAGGACTCTTTAAAGTAGAGACACTACATACTGATATACACCTGAATATCAGCAGGAGAGGACTCTTTAAAGTAGAGACACTACATACTGATATACACCTGAACATCAGCAGGAGAGGACTCTTTAAAGTAGAGACACTACATACTGATATACACCTGAACATCAGCAGGAGAGGACTCTTTAAAGTAGAGACACTACATACCGATATACACCTGAACATCAGCAGGAGAGGACTCTTTAAAGTAGAGACACTACATACTAATATACACCTGAACATCAGCAGGAGAGCACTCTTTAAAGTAGAGACACTACATACTGATATACACCTGAACATCAGCAGGAGAGGACTCTTTAAAGTAGAGACACTACATACTGATATCCACCTGAACATCAGCAGGAGCGGGACTCTTTAAAGTAGAGACACTATATACTGATATACACTTGAACATCAGCAGGAGAGGACTCTTTAAAGTAGAGACACTACATACTGATATACACTTGAACATCAGCAGGAGAGGACTCTTTAAAGTAGAGACACTACATACTGATATACACCTGAACATCAGCAGCAGAGGACTCTTTAAAATAGAGACACTACATACTGATATACACCTGAATATCAGCAGCAGAGGACTCTTTAAAATAGAGACACTACATACTGATATACACCTGAATATCAGCAGGAGAGGACTCTTTAAAGTAGAGACACTACATACTGATATACACCTGAACATCAGCAGGAGAGGACTCTTTAAAGTAGATACACTACATACTGATATACACTTGAACATCAGCAGGAGAGGACTCTTTAAAGTAGAGACACTACATACTGATATACACTTGAACATCAGCAGGAGAGAACTCTTTAAAGTAGAGACACTATATACTGATATACACTTGAACATCAGCAGGAGAGGACTCTTTAAAGTAGAGACACTACATACTGATATACACTTGAACATTAGCAGGAGAGGACTCTTTAAAGTAGAGACACTACATACTGATATACACCTGAACATCAGCAGGAGAGGACTCTTTAAAGTAGAGACACTACATACTGATATACACTTGAACATCAGCAGGAGAGGACTCTTTAAAGTAGAGACACTACATACTGATATACACCTGAACATCAGCAGGAGAGCACTCTTTAAAGTAGAGACACTACATACTGATATACACCTGAACATCAGCAGGAGAGGACTCTTTAAAGTAGAGACACTATATACTGATATACACTTGAACATCAGCAGGAGAGGACTCTTTAAAGTAGAGACACTACATACTGATATACACCTGAACATCAGCAGGAGAGGACTCTTTAAAGTAGAGACACTACATACTGATATACACCTGAACATCAGCAGGAGAGGACTCTTTAAAGTAGAGACACTACATACTGATATACACCTGAACATCAGCAGGAGAGGACTCTTTAAAGTAGAGACACTACATACTGATATACACCTGAACATCAGCAGGAGAGGACTCTTTAAAGTAGAGACACTACATACTGATATACACCTGAACATCAGCAGGAGAGGACTCTTTAAAGTAGAGACACTACATACTGATATACACCTGAACATCAGCACTGTTGATAAAATAAAACCATATTTCTCATCAGTTTCCTCTTGTAATGCTTGCAAACAATTTTAAATAATGTCCTACAGCTTGATTGCACAGACTGGCAGTGAAGCTCTGAGCTGAGGTCATGTATCCTCGACTGACAGCCAATGAGGAGAATACGTCAGGTGAGTGTGTGTTTACTCCTGACTGACAAAGAACAGGCGTATTGTGTGTCTGTGAGGTGAGCACCTGTCAGACACCATGACTTAAACCAGTATGATTTTAAAATCAAAGTAACAGGAAATCCAAACATCCACAAAAAGCAAAAAAGGGCTTTTAAATATCTCTCTCTTACTACCGTCAACTGCAAATGTATATCTGGTTGTTTGTTACACGTGATTGGTAACTAAATATCTCATAACACATCAAATGTCAGTCTCTTGTCAGTAAGTAGTTGAACAATAAATGTCCAAATAGCAAATTTTCCCGACTTCCAAAACCCGAAGATATTTTGTTCTAAATAATAATATAAAACAGAGAAAATTATTAAAAACATACACTTTTATATATTATTTTTGTTAATAAATTCATGATTAAATGGCTGTCAAACCATACAAAATGTCATCCCAATTCATTTAAAAATGTCCAACTGTCCTTGAACGAGTCTGTGAGAAATGTAGTAATCCAATGACATTTCTCACGGACAGTTCAAGGACAGAATGAAATGTCATTTCTGACATTTCATTCTGTGTATTTTATTAAGATAACTTGTTGTTCGTTCACCTCTTTTCAGTAGGGAAAACATTAGGAGAAATGTTGCTCTACAAACGCCCTTCTAGTTTGGACTATAACACGTAAATGAATTTCACAGTTGGTCAAACACACACTCCAGGTTTTGTTAATTATCAAAAAGCCTCGTTAATGATTAAGTGACTAGTTTCAAAAAGCCAGACTAATGTGTCTCAATGATTAAATATCCATCATGTGAGAGAGTTAATTATGTGTACGCTGCCTCACTGACTTCATTCTGATCAATAGGGCCACTTCTTAATACCAATCAGCAGTGCTAAACATGTAAATATTTCCTGCACACTAACAGTTACCTATTTTATATTTACAACCATGACTATATAGTTAGATTTTAAAGAAAAAAATCCACTTTTTATTTTATAATCACAACATAATTTTCCACCATTTCAAAGTCACCTCCCTCTTTACCACAAAAATATAGTTTGGAGAAATTAAGCTAAGTGTGTGTGTGTGTGTGTGTGTGTGTGTGTGTGTGTGTGTGTGTGTGTGTGTATGTGTGTGCGTGTGCCGCTGCTTGCTGTTGCCATGACAACAGCCACTCGTTGTCAGGTACTGTTTTTGGCTACGAGAAGCGCTAAATGTCTCGTTTGGCCTAATGGTGATCTGTCGTCTGTCATTGTGGGAAAAACTAAACATCACCACCACACAAACACACATCCTTCCCCCGACTCCTGTTGCATCGATTAAAAATAAAGAAATAAAAGAAACACGCATGCAAGACAGAAGAAGATCACGGTTAACACACACCCCCCTGAGGAGAAACACTACCACACAGATGCTTGCTACCAACCTGCAGCTATGCTTACATTGCTTGTTGTGATCTCATTAACAATTTGGTGTTCAAGGTGAATTTACACTTGATATTTGACTCTGGTCGGCACCGTTTGAATGCCAAGGACTATGGAAAGCTTTGAGCTGCGCCTAGTGAGTGTCTCCATTTTTTTAAATCAAGCAAAAGCACATCTATAGATAAGTAGCGAGCACACATTTCATCAAGATCACAGAGCACTTCTACAAGACATTTGGCTACAGAGCTGCATTGGACTTTCATGAAGCTTTTTCACAGCAGAATCAAAAAGGACAGCAGGTAGCTTCTGGCAGTGTGTTTAATATAATAAAATGGTGCAGTGAGTCAACCAGGAAGTTAGCATCGCAAGGGCTCCTTAGCGTAAAGCCAAGGGGATTGATTCATTGGATCTTTGGCTGACGCATGTTTAGGATACTTACAGGTTTTGTTCAGCAGGATCAACTTTCACACAAATGTTCTGAATTTGAAGCGTAAATGCAATCTCCAATTGCTAATGTTGGGCTATAAAAGAACTACAGCACGGTCACATGACTTCACGTCACCACGCTAAGCTAAAGGAGGCTAATGTTGGGCTATAAAGGAACTACAGCACGGTCACATGACTTCATGTCACCACGCTAAGCTAAAGGAGGCTAATGTTGGGCTATAAAGGAACTACAGCACGGTCACATGACTTCACGTCACCACCGCTAAGCTAAAGGAGGCTAATGTTTGGGCTATAAAGGAACTACAGCACGTCACAATGACTTCACAAGTCACCACCGCTAAGCTACAGGAGGGCTAATGGTGGGGCTATAAAGGAACTACAGCACGGTCACATGACTTTACGTCTCCCCACCGCTAAGCTAAAGGAGGCTAATGTTGGGCTATAAAGGTAACTACAGCACGGTCACATGAACCTTTACTCACCACCGCTAAGCTAAAGGTGGCTAATGTTGGGCTATAAAGGAACTACAGCACGGTCACATGACTTCACTTCACCACCGCTAAGCTAAAGGAGGCTAATGTTGGGCTATAGAGGAACTACAGCACGGTCACATGACTTCACCACCGCTAAGCTAAAGGAGGCTAATGTTGGGCTATAAAGGAACTACAGCACGGTCACATGACGTCACCACCGCTAAGCTAAGGAGGCTAATGTTGGGCTATAAAGGAACTACAGCACGGTCACATGACTTCACGTCACCACCGCTAAGCTAAAGGAGGCTAATGTTGGGCTATAAAGGAACTACAGCACGGTCACATGACTTCACGTCACCACCGCTAAGCTAAAGGAGGCTAATGTTGGGCTATAAAAGGAACTACAGCACGGTCACATGACTTCACGTCACCACCGCTAAGCTAAAGGCGGCTAATGTTGGGTGTGATGACGTTTTAGTAGTAGATTTCACTCCACAGATCAAATAATAATTATGATGTTTAAGATGTAAAACGTGATTATATGGGGGTTATTGAGGATGCCGAATTCATTTATGACATTTAAAGGATGCAAAAAAAAGCTTATTTAATGAGAAATTGGGCATTTTTTGTACTACCATTGGGCTGATTTTGATTAGTTTTTGAGTCGTTTTTTTAAGTTTTAGACGACACTTTATCAGTTGGATTGGACATACAGCACATTTTAACTTAAATATTAAGGGTTAACTTCAACTCTGTTAAACGTTGTAGAATATTTCTGATCACAAGAATCCAAATAGTGCACAACACGTACATTTTTATTAACGGTCCAGTATACTCTTGAGTTCAAAATTGGATATAAGAAAGGCAAGTTACCAAAACAATATGGCTATGGCTAAACAAACAAATCCATAAAAGGCAGAAGAAATAATTTTTTTAAAGTACAATTGTTCAACCTAACCTGATGGGGGGAAATAAACGTGTAGCTTCTACTTAGAGAGAAATATAAGGTTCATGGTGAGAGTGGCAGTGAGCGAGTAAATCCAGAAGCTGTCAATCACTATTGATCGCTGATATGGAGTCATATCAAGCCTCAAGCACGTTAATTGATTAGTCAATCAACTGAGAATTCATCAGCAAATCTGTAGTGATTTACTCAAAAGGAAAGACACCAAACATTGTGTAGTTTCTGCTTCTCAAACGTTGAGTTTTTAACGCTTTTCTGTGTTTGTAAATGTATTTTTTGTGGGTTTGGGAGAATTGATTGGACAAAAACAGCAGTTTGAAAACCCAATTCCGGTGTTTTCCATAGTTGTGTCTAAAGCAAACTATGAGTTTTTCCATCACCCAGCAGATTTAGAATGGTCTTTATTTATGATTAGGGTTTGCCCTCTAGATTTTTCCTGTAAAATGTTAAAGTGAGGCCAGAAAACAATATTTCTGTTCGTCAAAACCGGTATAATTACTCCAGAAATATGAGTATCAAACAGAGGGTCAGACGGCTTCAAGTAAAGGCATGTTTGTGTTTCCCCCTCAGGTCATCAGCGTGTTGAATTCAATCCCTTGAACCTCTGTGAGTGGTGAATACCTCGCTTAAGGACATGTAAGAAGCCGATCTATACAAGAGTTTGATAGGTTAAAGACACCTTCAGGACAAAATCCCTCACAAAAAAACCCTTGCATTTTCACCTCTACTTCTTGAAAAAGGTATGTACTTAGTAGATCCACACCTCTGCATTGCCTCTCGCTTCATGCTGAGCGGTCCCAGAATAACCTGGACGCTGTTTCCAGAAAGCGCACAATGTCCCCTTTCAGTGCTGGGAACACTATAAACAAAATCCCATTCACCTCATCTGAACTGGCGCGGACAAATACAACTCACAGCTACCTGCATGTTTAGTTAGTTAGTGAGTTAGTTAGTTAGTGAGTTAGTTAGTGAGTTAGTGAGTTAGTGAGTTGGTTAGTGGGTGAGTTAGTGGGTGAGTTAGTGGGTGAGTTAGTGGGTGAGTTAGTGGGTGAGTTAGTGGGTGAGTTAGTGGGTGAGTTGGTGAGTTAGTGGGTGAGTTAGTGGGTGAGTTAGTGGGTGAGTTAGTGGGTGAGTTAGTGGGTGAGTTAGTGGGTGAGTTAGTGGGTGGGTGAGTTAGTTAGTGGGTGAGTTAGTGGGTGAGTTAGTGAGTTGGTGAGTTAGTTAGTGGGTGAGTTAGTTAGTGGGTGAGTTAGTGGGTGAGTTAGTGGGGTGGGTGGTGAGTGGGGTTGGTGAGGTGTGAGTTAGTGGGTGAGGTTAGTGATTATGGGTGAGTAGTGGGTGAGTTAGTGGGGGTTAGTGGGTGAGTTAGTGGGTGGGTGGGTGAGTTAGTGGGTGAGTTAGTGAGTTAGTGGGTGAGTTAGTGGGTGAGTTAGTGGGTGAGTTAGTGGGTGAGTTAGTGGGTGAGTTAGTGGGTGAGTTAGTGGGTAGTTAGTGGGTGAGTTAGTGGGTGAGTTAGTGAGTTGGTGAGTTAGTGGTGAGTTAGTTAGTGGGGTGAGTTAGTGGGTGAGTTAGTGGGTGAGTTAGTGGGTGAGTTAGTGGGTGAGTTAGTGGGTGAGTTAGTGGGTGAGTTAGTTAGTGGGTGAGTTAGTGGGTGAGTTAGTGAGTTAGTGAGTTGGTGAGTTGGTGAGTTGGTGAGTTAGTTAGTGGGTGAGTTAGTGGGTGAGTTAGTGAGTTGGTGAGTTAGTGGGTGAGTTAGTGAGTTAGTTAGTGAGTTAGTGGGTGAGTTAGTGGGTGAGTTAGTGAGTTAGTGGGTGAGTTAGTGAGTGAGTGAGTGAGTTAGTGGGTGAGTTAGTGAGTTAGTGGGTGAGTTAGTGAGTGAGTTAGTGAGTTAGTGGGTGAGTTAGTTAGTTAGTGGGTGAGTTAGTGAGTTAGTGGTGAGTGAGTGAGTGAGTGAGTGAGTTAGTGAGTTAGTGGGTGAGTTAGTTGGTGAGTGAGTGAGTGAGTGAGTAGTGAGTTAGTGAGTTAGTGGGTGAGTTAGTGAGTTAGTGAGTTAGTGAGTTAGTGAGTTGGTGAGTTAGTTAGTGGGTGAGTTAGTTAGTGGGTGAGTTAGTGGGTGAGTTAGTGAGTTAGTTGGTGAGTTAGTGGGTGAGTTAGTGAGTGAGTGAGTTAGTGAGTTAGTGGTGAGTTAGTGAGTTAGTGGGTGAGTTAGTGTGAGTGAGTGAGTTAGTGAGTTAGTGGGTGAGTTAGTTAGTTAGTGGGTGAGTTAGTGAGTTAGTTGGTGAGTGAGTGAGTGAGTGAGTGAGTGAGTGAGTGAGTGAGTGAGTGAGTTAGTGAGTTAGTGGGTGAGTTAGTGAGTTAGTGGGTGAGTTAGTGAGTTGGGTGAGTTAGTTAGTGGTGAGTTAGTGGGTGAGTTAGTTGGTGAGTTAGTGGGTGAGTTAGTGAGTGAGTGAGTGAGTTAACCCCAAGCTGTTACAGGGTGTTTTTGCACAAAACACAAAATATATCTTATATACGTTCTGCACTACTAATTGTACAATCATGGCTAGAAGTATTGAGAACAAAAAGGAGAATAAAGTTAGTATAAATTTAAATAAGATTTCTATAATATTTTTCTTTTAATTTATTTACAAAAGTCAAATCAAATGTAAAGTATTTATATTCAAGATGTTCCATTAACCCAAACACTGGGCCTATAATAATAATACTAATAATAATACAAATAAATCAATAATTTCTCTAGAGTCTGATGTGTTTTGTAAGATTTGGAATAAAATATACATATATATCCAACATTTTAAAGTGTTAAAAGTAATGCAATAAAGGGAGGAAATGGGGTTCAATATGCTAATAAATAATTAATTAAAATGAATCACATTAAGATTTAAGAAGTATTACTAATGGTAGGGGGGAGGGGGGTTCCACATCCTAGAAATATTAAACTTTTTTGTGATGTAATCTTGTGCTTTCCTGCGTCATCTGTGTTCAGTCCAGGTTTCACAGATGTTCTGTCACATGTCTGTTAGTCTCAGTCGAATCAATCGTGGCTTTAAGGCTGCGCTGAGGAGAGCAGAATGTAAGGTTTTTTACCGGACCTGGTAAAACCGTTTATTCTGAAGACATTTAAATCACTGAACTATCAGCTGTGATTCTGTTTCTGTTCCTAAAGGAAGCATTTGTCACACGTGTCTCATTCAAAGACTGTGGGAAAGCTGAAAACTACTCGTGTGATTTTGGCGATTTTTCTATTTTCCTGGGGTAAACTATCCTTTAACACTTTTGTGTGCACTTCAGTCAAAAGACAACGTACACACACATCCTGTAAAGACACAACCCATCACTATCAGTGTTTCTCAGATTGTACTTACTTGGAGATCCGGTCCATGTTAGCGATTTGTTTCTGGTTTCGGACGACCTCGATGGCCGCCCACACGTACTGCACCACCTTCGGGTCCGCCAGCCTCTTCTTCACCACGCGGGACATGATTTCCTTATTCATCTTCACTGCAGGGAAACAAAGGAAAGTAATCATTAAAATCAGCAGATACATCTTTTGTTCTGGGGATGAAAAGTAGGATGAAGTATAGTTCATTCTCACAGCAAAAATACTGACAAAAAGCCTTTTCTAAAGTGTTATTAATACCCATTTAAGAATACCAGTGAAGATAATGAAGCCACCGTTTTGTTTCCAGGTGATTTGGGCAGGATAGGAGCGCACCGTGGTCAGGTGGACAACAGACGGTGAGCATCACATGTGAGCGTCTCTACAGAAACGACTGACCCTCGATCATCAGGTGGGTAATTAGGCATTTGACACTTAATTAGCGTCTTGTCAAACCTAACAAGAGTTCCTATTACTTTCCAAATATTATACAGAATACATGTATTATATTCTGTATATAAAGGCCACGGTAGGCGATAGAAAACATTTCAACAAGGAGCAAAGGATGCTTCGAGTAGTGAATCGGTTGCATTTTGGACAATAGCTGCAATATATCAGATCATTCATTCACAAATCAGCAAGAATATCAAAATAAATCCTAAATATGTAATAATCAAACTGTCTTCTTGTTAAATGAGATGGCCAGAATATGAAGACACAAAAAACATGATTTATAGAAAGATAAAAAGATCATTTGGATATATTTCTGGAAGAGTTTGCTTATTTATTGAGACAACTGTGGAGCTTGGATTACAGCAAAGAAACTACAAAGACATCTTTCATCATATTTTTTTGGGTTGGTATTCTGGTCTTCTGGTATCCTTGAAATTCCTTAAGTTAATTCAGCTATTATAACGGTTGCTATGGTTTTTAATGACTGATTGAATATGAAGTTGTTAGCCCATCCTTTGGTGGTTTTACTGACCAACAACTGACGCCTTCAGAGTATAAAAGGAAAGACATTTGAGGTGTTTGTGTCTAACTTTACACAAAAGTTGGAGATGCTTTGAAATAAAGTTTAGCCATGTTTGTTGTGACCTTTGTTGTGATCACTCCTCACATGCTAGCTATGAGCATGAAGCTGCGAACACCAGACATACATTCAGATGATGCTTAAAAGTCGTATCAAAGCGCCTTTATTGTAAAGGAATCGTACGTCCAAGCCATAATTCTCCTGGAAGGCGTTCAGAGCCATGTTTAGATTAAGCATTACGAGGACATTCTTAATACTTGCAGCCCCCTCTGTGACATGGGGACATCAAAACAAATACATGAACCGTGATGGATGCTGAGGAATATGACGAGTAAAGCCTAGAGACCTTCAAAGCTTCTGAATAAAGCCGGCTGCTTCTTTCCTGTGGTGCTCAGCCCGGCCTTACTCCTGGAATATCTACAAATCCAATGTAATGCCGTTCTCCTCCAAAGCCTCCGTGAAACCTAAGATGTCACTTCCATAAACCGCGGCCAAAAGCTAGCCATAATAAAGCTCGGAGCGCTTTGGTGTACTTTGTAGTAGAAAAGGCGACGACAGATGTTGGGAGAGGATGTTCATTTTCACACTCTTTTCTCAGGAGAGTATGAACTGTGGATCCGCGTGGTCATGGTCAGATGCAGCGAAAAAGGCAACTCTACAAATGCACTGGTTCATATTTTGGGTCAAAGTAAAGGGTCCTTAAACTGAGATGGATTGGGATCTCTTTACGCATATTATTCTTTATATTTCTGCTATCTTGCAGACTCGTGGATAGACAACATCTGAGCTGAAGTACACATATATCAGCCTGATGCATTTGATATTGAGTTTGCCTGGCAGGCGAACCTAAAGCACTTATTGTGATCATAAGGGGTCCCTTTAAATGTAACAAAACTGCCTGGTTTTACTATTAAAAACAGTATATCCTTAAATAACATCATAACATAAAACAAGGATGTTGAAAAGGATGCATGTGTCACTTTAAAAACACTGAAATGTAAAGGTTTTGAGGCTGTGAAAAAAGTAGAAATGCTGTTATTTGTATGCCTTGGATGTGCACTTGTTTCATTAACATGTTTCATTAAAGGTGGGGTAGGTACGTTTGAGAAACCGGCTCGAGATACACTTGTTGTTATATTCCATGGAATGCTCTTAACGTCCCGACAGCAATGAATATCTGAAGTGCTTTGACAATAAAGCCATAAATGTCACCTCTGGAAGCCGTGGCGCTGTACAAAGCACGACCAATCACCTGAGCCGGCTAAAGTAACTGGATGGCCTACCTGCCTGTCAGCCTTCCATCTGGGCACAAACTCATCTCGTGCCCTCATTGGTCATGTGCGCGTTCGTGTGTGTTGGAGGAGGGGCTCTGTGAGGAAGTGGCAGATTTGTTCCGGCTGTGTATTTTCAAATTCTAGCCACTCGAGCTGCTTTCTCCAAAATGACCGACCCCACCTTTAAGTGAATAAGTTAATGAAGTCATTATTCAGGCCTTTTTCTGCACTGTTTTCTTTCCCTAGGATTTCTGATTGTTGGTAATGGTTACTTAATGTAAACATTAATTTACTCAGATTTGGGATGTCTGGGAGACGAGTTTTTCCACCGTAATTGGGTTAAACCGACCGGCTAAGATAGTGAAATTGTAAAGAAAGTGGTTGGGCAGACTTCACAGCGTCACAAGAGATGAAGGTAAACGGGACGTGAAGGAGTAACGGTTCATTAGTAATGTGATCCCTCCTTCTTCTGTGTCCGGAGGTGTGAAGGAGGGCCATCTGTGCCACAAGGATCTTGAAAAGGACGCATGTGTCACTTTAAAAACAATGCTATTTTAAGGTTTTGAGGCTGTGAAAAAAATGCTGTTATTTGTATACCGTGAATGCGCACTTGTTTCATGAACACCTGTGCCATGAAAGCATCCTGGGCTTGCATTAAAAACGGCACACAGCTAACTTTCTCTTGGCTTTTATCATTAGGATCCCCTTAATGATAATGAAAGTCTGAACCAATCTTTACTATTCTCTTGTGCATCGGCAATGAGTGACCATGGCTCTGTTCTGTATCATATGTGTATTCACTTTGGGCAACATGAACCTTCTTTATGGTGCATATCAAGTTTGTGTTGAGCGTACTGAGATAAAAAACGTTTTACATAATATCTTAATGGATGTGTCACTGTTACAGTTCTGACCGAATTCAAGTAGATCTCTGCCTAAGAGTTAAGCAAGTCAATGTGTCATGCATGTATATTACACTAGTTCTGTAAGAGCAGTATAATGCACATTATTTTAAGCTACATGTATTGTTTCACTTCTCCACAGGACCACATGTCAAAACAGTAATCAAGCTATGACAGATCCAATGCATTTAAACCATATCTAATGACATCTGGTGGTATAACTTTTACAATTCTTCTTGTAATTGACACACCCCTTTCCACTTTGTTCACAATGTTATCCACATCTGCACATCTGTCTGCAGAGGCTCACACTGCAGTATGAACACATGCTACCTAAGCAATTAGTCTGACAAAGAGAGCCAATTAGGACAGGTTGAGAGGGGTTTGAGGCTCCAGGGGAAATGACAGCTCCGCAAAGACGTGTCTCCATGTCAACAGAGATGGGAGTTAAGTACTTTCATGTTGTACTTCAGTAGAAGTACTCAGATCTTGTACTTGAGTAAAAGTAGAAGTACTCAGATCTTGTACTTGAGTAAAAGTAGAAGTACTCAGATCTGTACTGAGTAAAAGTAGAAGTACTCAGATATTGTACTTGAGTAAAAGTAGAAGTACTCAGATATTGTACTTGAGTAAAAGTAGAAGTACTCAGATCTTGTACTTGAGTAAAAGTAGAAGTACTCAGATCTTGTACTTGAGTAAAAGTAGAAGTACTCAGATCTTGTACTTGAGTAAAAGTAGAAGTACTCAGATCTTGGACTTGAGTAAAAGTAGAAGTACTCAGATCTTGTACTTGAGTAAAAGTAGAAGTACTCAGATATTGTACTTGAGTAAAAGTAGAAGTACTCAGATCTTGTACTTGAGTAAAAGTAGAAGTACTCAGATCTTGTACTTGAGTAAAAGTAGAAGTACTCAGATCTTGTACTTGAGTAAAAGTAGAAGTACTCAGATCTTGTACTTCAGGAAAGTAGAAGTACCAGAGTGTAGGAATACTCTGTTACAGTAAAAGTCCTGCATTCAAAATGTTCCTCAAGTAAAAGTAGAAAAGTATTCTCATCAAAATATAGTGAAAGTATCAACAGTAAAAGTAGTCGTTGTGCAGATTGGTCCATTTCAGAATAATATATATGATGTGTTTTATAATGATTGATCATGAAAGTGTTCTCAAAGCTGGTGAAGGTGCAGCTAGTCTGAATGACTTTGTATACTGCAGGGTAGCTGGTGGATTTACTCCAGGTGGAACTAAAGTCTGATTCAACACTTGGTTATATTTCACATCATTCACCCACATCTGTAAAGTAACTAAACACATTTAGTGGCATAAAAGTACAGGATTTACCCCTGAATTGTAGTTGAGTACAAGTACAAAGTAGCACAAGTTTGAAATACTCAAGTAAAGTAGAAGTACCTCAAAATGCTACTTAGTTACTATACACCACTGCATATCAAGAATCATGTCTATTTGTTATGATATCGATTAAATGACAGTAGCACAGTTAACACGGGATGCAGCATTGTCAATATCAACCATGCTGATGAGGAGAACACATCTGTTGCTGCTATGACTCCTGGATTACATATATTATATTGAATAGCATCTGGATAATCAGACTTCAAACAACGCATGTCAAAATAAATGCCACATTTAACACAACTGGTAGATTTGGCAACAAAGAGGGAAGGCCACGGGCTTTTGCCAATGTGTATTTTAAATTATCTTTTTCCAGCGATTGTCTTTGTTAAGTGTGCCTTTTGTACAAAAAAAAAGATCCATGTATATTTAAAAACGCGCTATATAAATTCAAAAGAAATGCATTATTGTTAAACGAGCTGTATTTAGCTACAAGCATGCTAGATAACGTCAAAGCACATCAAGACAAAATAACCCATTAACTTGCACTTAATAACACCAAACAGCCACTTTAGATGTAATGTGTCATAAGTAATAACATCAATTCCCCATAATAACATTACATGCATGGTTGGCGAGTTATTTATTTTCAGTCAGCGATGCTACGTTGCTAGCATTAGCTTATCGGTAGCTTAACCAAAGCTAGTCAACTTGTCAACAACAAAAATACATAATAAAAGCGACATAGGAGGTGTTTTTTGGCTTCACTTCAAGCTAAAAAATCCGCCACAAACAAAGTCTGCTGATAAGCAAACAGCTCGTTTGTTTTGGAGGCGCCATGTTCACAATCCTCCATCACGGGATAAGGAGCTACTGCTAAGCTAATGCTAAGCTAACAGTGCTAACTAGCCGCAGTGTTGTCACTTTTTCTTGCCATTTTTCATGAAAATAATACAAAAATAAAACTCACCTTTTGCTCCGGTGTCACTAACACACAAATCCTTGAAGGATGGAGCACCAGAAAGCTCACATTAGTGATTTTCCGGCTGGTTTGGAGGCTGGTGGTTTGTGTGTGAACACTCAGAGGTAAACAGAGGGAGAACTCTAGTGGTGGAATCCGATTTACTGCACCTAAAACCCGGGGAATTAAAGGGGCAGTCCGCCCATCGTCCATGTCAGAGTCAATGTACTGGTCATCAGCAATGGTGAAGGAATTCACAAGAAGACATCGACTGACTTTTGCACATGTTTACTTAAATTACAACAATATGGCACCACTATTTAAAAAAAAACATCACCTCTGGCTGCCAGAGAACTCAATGCCCCATAGTTTTAGTTTTTCCCTCTCAATAACTGCACAAACTGCACAACAGCCACCTTGCACATCTGTCATTTCATTTATATTATATCATATGTATGTCTCTGCTCCTGTAGTATAAATCTATTTCTGTTGCTGCATTTTTTTTTGTCTTTTATCGAAGATTTTAACTATTCATATGATTTTATATTGTGCTTTCTACTGGTAAATGTTTATATTGCTGTTTATTTCTGATTGTGTTATTATTCCTTTTTAAATATTGTATTGCCTGAACACTCTGCTTGCTGCTGTAACACAATATATCCCTAAATTGGGATCCAATAAGTATCTATCCATAAAATATGAAGGAAGTCAAAACCAAATGTGTATTTGATAAATATATTTATCTGAAATGTTACCTTTATTTTTTAATCACAATTGTCTTTGTATTTCGTTCTCCATTTCCTTATATGTATGTATACAACAATCACCTCCAGCTCAACATCAGCAAGACTAAGGAGCTGGTGGTGGACTTCAGACGGAGCAGGAAGAGGCCTCTGACCCCATCACCATCAGGGGGCAGGATGTGGAGGTGGTGAACAGCTACAAGTTCCTGGGAGTGCACTTGAACAATGAACTGGGTCAGACAACACTGATGCTCTCTTCAGAAAGGGACAGAGCAAGCTGTTCTTCCTGAGGAGGCTCAGGTCATTTAATGTGTGCACGACGCTGCTGCAGAAGTTCTACCAGTGGTGGCCAGTGTGCTCTTCTTTGCCGTGGGGGGAAACACCAACACAAGGGATGGTGAGGAAGGCTAGCTCTGTAGTTGGAGTACAACTGGACAATCTGGAGGAGGAAGCTCGACAGTATCCTAGACCTAGAGAACCCCTCCCACCTACCCCATGCAGAGCTAGTGAAGATGAGGAATACGTTCAGCCACAGACTCATCCCTCCACGACACAGACAGTCCTTTGTGCCGGTAGCCATCAGGATGCACAACAAGGGGTCAATAATGTGAAACAATTACTGGACATGAATACACCGTTTCCACACACCCATGTTAATATATCTAATATGTTTATATGACCCAATATGTATATATGTTCATTTCATTCATTTCTTACTTCATAGTTTATATGACCCAATATATATGCTCATTTTTATTCTGTATTAATTTCTTATTTCATAGTTTTTCATTATTATTTTTATCTTTGATATCTTTAATCTGTGCTGTCCTGTTTTTCACCCTTACCCTGTAGCTGTTTGGACTACTGACTTTAAATGAGTATATGTACCTGTGTACATCTTATTTCATTGTTGTGTATATGGAATGTTTGATGTACATAATATACTTTCTTGAATAAAGGAGAAAAAAACAGTAAAAGTCATTTTCAATGTGGTAATTTCCCCCCAAAAAGTATTCATATGTATACATTTATGTACAAAACTTCAACATTGTTTTTATGTGAATTTATTGAAACCTCACGCACTTTCAGGTTGTATGCAAACTGCATTTCATTGTACTTGCAATGACAATAAAGTTGAATGTAATCAAATATCCTACAACATTAACACGTGTATGACACCCTGGGACGAAGAAAAGGAGACAAAACTTCTATCATTCTTCAATAAAAAAAACGTTATTGATGATGTAAGCCTTCAGTTGTGTTCACACATCCCATCATACAATCAGCATGGTAAAAAAAAAGAACACATATTAGCATAAACTCCACCAAAACGACAGGCAGTTTGATTGACAGCTGATCTCTGGGGTCAGCACTCAAAAAAAGACTAAATGAGTTAAACAAAACATCCACACAACATTGAACCCAAGTACTTTATACGGCTGTTAGGTTAGACGATCTCAGCATAGTCCTCCAGCATTGGCATACATTTAAACCCCAGATAGAGAGGCTCAGTGAAGGTGGTCTGGACTCTGTGGAGGAGGGTCATGGTGTCACCATTGATCTTGTAGAAACACAGAACACCTGCACCGTGATCCAGGAAAATCCCTACTGTGTTGAACTCAATAGCCGGGTACTGCACGGTCTCATTATTGTGTGCAAAATGGAAGCCCCCCTTTGGTGCAACGTAGTACCCAAGATTTTGGGTTGCATCCAAATCCAACTTTGTTGTTGCCCCTTTTCTTTCATTAATCCCAGTATGCGAGTGCAACATCAACCATAGACCCTCCGCGCTTTATCTCCACGTAACAGCGTCCAACAATCGCCTGTTCGTTTCAGGACCTGCTTGTGAACCTCGAATCTGTCGGGATGATCAGCACATGGACGTCGGAGTTTGTTTATGTATGTGACTCTCGTGTCCTCCTTAGATACCTCCAGATGTGGGTGTGCCGTGTCTGGATCCATGGTGAGTCTACGAGAAATTGTTCTGAATTCAGCTTTGGTCGTGGGCTCTGGTTTCAACATCAAAACGTCCGCCTCGCTCACAATAATTAAGAGATTTGTCCACATACCAACCATAAACTCATCCAATTGATCAATGCCGGATGACGCCTCTACTGCCACTCCTTCAAGTATCTCAGAGGACGGGGTTTGATGCACGATGTGTCTGTAGATTCACTGAGAGGTGGCAGGGAGTTGTAGATGTGTCTAAGCTGGTTGAGATCCTCTCCCTGTGAGAGTTTTTTCAGCTCAGTTTCTCTGCTCTTCAGCTCAGAGATCTCCTTCTCCAGCTTCTTCTGAAGATTTCTGACCCGATTTCGTTCAATCTCCCGCTGGGATATGATATTCTGCTTCACATCAGAGCACATTTTCATCATGAAACTGCTCCACACTGCGAATTGTCCCTGACTGTCCTTCATTGCTTTATTAGCAAACCTGTTGATAGCCTTCTCTTCCTCTTCAAGCAGCTTCACATATTTCTCTCTGTCCTGGATCCTCTTCTGAATGTTCTGTCGACTCACCTCCAGCTCCTTCTGTGTTTCAGTCCTCTCAACATCCAGGAGTCCAGTCTTCTTCAGCTGCTCCACCAGGAATGCTAACATGGTGTTTTTAACCAGGTCAGGTCTGGGTGTGAAGGCCTTCCTACACTGAGGACAGCTCTCCTTTGTATTATGTTCCTCTCCATCCCAGTAGTTTGTAATACAGCCCATGCAGTTGCTGTGTCCACAGGGAATAGTGACCGGATCCTTCATCACATCCAGACATATCGAACAGGAAATGGATTCAACGTCCAGCTGAGCTCTTTTCTGTGACATTTCTCCTCGTTGTAGTCACAGAGTTTCTGAGATCAGAGAAGTAGTGTGCGCTGACTCAAAAACAAACAAGGGGCCTTTGCTTCCCTCTCATTGGCTGATCTGCACCAATGGGTGTTCAGAGCGGGAGGAAGAGGGCGGAGTTATCAAATTTCCACGCGTTTCAGAAGGCTTTCTCTTAAAGGGGCAGTTCATCTTTATTATGAGAAGATAACATAATATGTTATCTTCTCATAATAAAGATGAACAAAAAACGGTAACATTTGGATCAATAAAGTATATTATACTCTATTGATCCAAATGTTACCGTTTTTTGTCACAGTAGCATAGATAAGACATTGCACATGAGTTAGAAGTAAATCACAAAATAATGTAATTCACCTTTCATATTTGACAGATGTATATATATATAGTGTAAAGTGGTGGTGGTGTAACTAAGTGCATTAAGACAAGTACTGTACTTATGTAAAATGTTAAGGGTCTGTATACTTTACTTGAGTATTTCCATGTTATGCTACTTTGTACTTCTACTCCTACTACAATTCAGAGGTAAATTGTTTACTTTTACTCAATTGTACTGTAGTAGTAGTAGTAGTAGTAGTAGTAGTAGTAGTAGTAGTAGTAGTAGTAGTAGTAGTAGTAGTAGTAGTAGTAGTAGTAGTAGTAGTAGTAGTAGTAGTAGTAGTAGTAGTAGTAGTAACTTTACAGATCTGGATTATTGATGTGAAATATATTCAACTGTTAAATCAGACTTTAGTTCCACCTGGAGTAAATCCACCAGCTACCCTGCAGTATACAAAGTTATTCAAACTAGCTGCACCTTTACCAGCTTTGAGAACACTTTCATGATCAATCATTATAAAACATATCATATATATTATTCTGAAATGGACCAATCTGCACAATCACTACTTTTACTGTCGCTACTTTCACTATATTTTGATGAGAATACTTTTACTTGAGTAACATTAAGATTGAGGCTGTGTCATGTACCACAAGGAGTAATAAATGCCCACACCGGGATATATTTGAACTCTCTGCCTCTGCCTACTTGCTTGATCGGGCCGCTCAACGGTCAGTCTCACAATTGGCAATTTGCAACTCAAGTACAAGATCTGAGTACTTCTACATTTACTCAAGTACAATACCTGAGTACTTCTACTTTTACTTGAGTAACATTTTGAATGCAGGACTTTTACTGTAACAGAGTATTCCTACACTCTGGTACAAGATCTGAGTACTTCTACTTTTACTCAAGTACAAGATCTGAGTACTTCTACTTTTACTCAAGTACAAGATCTGAGTACTTCTAGTTTTACTCAAGTACAAGATCTGAGTACTTCTACTTTTACTCAAGTACTTTGAGTACTCAATCTGAGTACTTCTACTTTTACTCAAGTACAAGACCTGAGTACTTCTACTTTTACTCAAGTACAAGACCTGAGTACTTCTACTTTTACTCAAGTACAAGACCTGAGTACTTCTACTTTTACTTAAGTACAATACCTGAGTACTTCTACTTTTACTCAAGTACAAGACCTGAGTACTTCTACATTACTCAAGTACAATACCTGAGTACTTCTACTTTTACTCAAGTACAAGACCTGAGTA